AGATGATGATACATACGAATATATTACAATAAATAGAAAAAGAACAATAACTAAGAACAAAAACCCTAAATATGGCTGACGAGCATATGGTTGGTAGTGAAGATGATGATGTTCAGTTTATGCGAACGGTAATCTCGCTTTGTTTAACTTCATTTTCTGATTGTTAGTTTTGTTTTATAGGAAGATCGACTATGTTTAAGTTGTCTGCCAGTATCAGCGATCAAACGAATGGCTTTATCGGGCGAAGTATTTGGAAATCGGATGTGCTATCTTGAAGATATATCAAATGAGGTAGAAAATAATCGATGATAAAATCAATGGACATCCTTGCATAGCATTCAGATCAAATTTGTTATACCTTTCCTGTTTTGTCGCATGTCACGCTTGTTGTTTACATTCTTCTCTCTTTTCTCTAGCATGTTATTTGATCTTCCTGCTTTGTTGTTTATCTCCAGAGCGAGAAATAAAAACAGACTGAAATCTTGATCAAATCAGCCTTCGATTTCTATTTTTCTATTTGATGTCATGATATTTTCTATGTTTATTCACATGAGCTTTATTTTGATTTCTTGTATCAGGTTTGTTGTCCTGATTTGGCATCATGTATATTCGTACTCGAACAAGCTGTATCGGTTCGAGCCTTACAAGAAATGGTCAGCGCAACTTCAACCGAACAGGTAGATTCACTTATTCTCTTGCATCGACTCAACCTAGGTATCATCTTGTATTGCAGTCGTCGGCGAGCCAAGGGGGACAAACAACATTTCGAACATTATTATACGGACATGCTGTTCTTCTTCGACATTATCAAAGTCAAATGGTGAGGAGAGATTGTCTAGTCAAGAAAATATACACATCTAATGAAATGTATTTTGAAATTTAGTACTTGAGTTGTCTTTCAACAAGTACTTCAAATGACAAGCTCGCGTTTGATGTAGGCTTAAAAGAAGATGCACAAGGTTTGTGAAGATAAACACAGCGGAGATATCTTCTTTTTCTCATGTCTATTATGTAATTTGCAGGCGAATCTTGTTGGTGGACTATTCATCCAGCATCAAAACAAAGAAGTGAAGGTGAAAAAGTGCGCTTCAATGATGATGTCATCCTGGTTTCAGTCTTCTCGGAACGATATCTTGTATGATAACTTTCTTCGAAATACAATCTATTCCAAATGATTTCTAGCATGCGTATATGTATACCAATGAACGTGGTGGAGTCAATGCATCATTTCGTCAACAAGTATGGAGTTTAGTACCAATTTCAAGTGGTGTAGCACGTGTAAAGAATCCCGGATTTGTTCTTGGTGGTGACGTAATCCGCATTATGCATGGTAATATGGATCATTGTATAACGACACCACCACCAGATTCTCAAGTTATTGATGATTCGGGAAGGTAAAGATATGTTTTGTTGTTGTTATTGTTATTATTCGTTCGAATATCGATTGATCAAAATGATTATAGATTGCGTTAGAAATCTCTTGAGAAATTTTTCTCCCATAGAATCAAGTCAAAGCACTTGTCATGACAAAGGAGAAGAGAAGAATCTTTCGAGTTTGTTCGTCAATTGTCACATATTAATAATCGTAATACTAATAGGATGAAGGTCACTGATTGAATAAATAAATAGTTGAATACACAAGAGCATAATACATCGATCGATAAAATAATATTTCGTCACCGGATATTAATCAATTGATTTGTTTTAGTCTCTTCATTAAAAGTGGTGCTTCGTGTCAACAAGCTCGATCGTTATGGCGAATTGAATGTTTCAAAATAAAGTAAACATCGCTTGAACTCGTTCTTGAGTCATGCAATCGATGTGTTTAGATGGTACAGTGGATTTGTTGGTTGGAGTTCATTGATTCGCCTTCGGCATGTAACCTCCGGCCTTTATTTGGCTGTTATCGGTGATGAAAATGGTAGGAAAACGTTTGAGAAAAAGATGTGCAGTTTTGAAAATGGATTTTCAGGTCCTAAAGTAACCTGTATATCGAAGAAGAATGCAAGTGCAATTGCCGTGACATTCGAAATGAAAATGTCAAAAGTATGTTACAATGCAATTAGAGCAGAGAATTTGACTAATTTTGTATTAATTAGGAAAAACAAGCAGAAGAAGTAAGCGAACAAGAAAATCTCGGTGTACCAACGATAAAATATGGTGATACAATTGTTTTTATTCGTCATGTTGATTCGGATCTTTGGATTAGTTATGAAACGTTAGAATTAACTATAAAAGGAATTGGTAAAGTGGAAGAAAAACGAGTAAGAAGATTTCTTTCAAACATTGATTATCTTCATAGAAACCAATGCCGTTTTTTTATTTGATTAGATTATCCCAGCAGTTGAAGGTCATATGGATGATTGTTTTCGTCTTGTGCGAGCTCAAGAACAAGAACAAAAAACGGCTCTAGTCATTCGAATTTGTAATGCTATTCTCGGTAGATTCAATCGAACTGAGTAAGAACGAAAGTTGAGTTGATTGTTGATGTCGAATCGTCGTTTTTTCCTTTCTAGTCCAATGTCCATTGATGCTGAAACGGCTAATCATCTCTTGAGCAAAAGTGATGTAGTTCAAGCTTTATTACAAGATCTAATTGGATTCTTTTCTCAACCATCACCTGCAATTGATCATGAAGAACGGCAACTTCGTTTGAAAGTTCTAAAAAATCGACAAGATTTATTTCAAGAAGAAGTAATTGAAATGCATCAAATATGATCTCGAATAAAGCGACTTATTTGTAGGGAATGATTCGAATTTTAATTGCCGCAATAAATTTTTTCAGCGAACGAAGAGACAAATCGTTATTGCTGGAAGGTGTTGAAGAGAAAATCGAAAATATTACCAATAAACTCTATGTCGTATTGGCAGCATTAATCAAGGGTAATCGTACAAATTGTTCAAATTTTGCTCAAAGTGCTCGACTGAATTGGCTTGTTAATCGTTTACAATCACAAGAAGCATCTAGCGGCGTATTAGATGTCCTTCATAGTGTCCTAGTTGACAGTCCTGAAGTATTAAACATGATTACGGAATCACATATTCTCGCAAGTAAGCTAATCAAACGACGAATACCATGTTGATATGACAAGTTGTCTCGTTTAAGTTATTGCTTTACTCGATCGCAATGGTCGTGATCCAAAAGTACTCAATGTACTTTGTTCACTTTGTGTTAATAATGGTGTGGCTGTTCGTGCCAATCAAAATTTGATTTGTGAAAATATTTTACAACGACGTGATCTTCTTCTACAAACTGCTCTAGTCGATCATGTAGCATGGTAAAAATAAAAGCGATGTTCTAAGATATGCTAGTTCGAGAAAATACATTGTAATGGGCTTCAGAAAAGGTCAAGGCTGTATTGGGCCCATGACAGGGGAAGAGTATACAGACAATAGGAGAAAAGGTTTAGAAAGAAAAAGGAGAAATAATTACTCTATTAAATCTGTTATTGATTAGTGTTGATAAATTAAAATTATCAAGATGGCCAGGAAAAGGTCGTTTCTGCTTTTCTATATCTTGAAAGAAGAATTTATCTGAGGTGAATTCCTTGAACTTAACCTTAGTTACAAGGCTACATTCGATTAACTATTGAAAATGAATGAAAACCGAAATCGATCTCTTCTAGTATGCGTCCAAATATCCTCGTGGGAGTTGAAGATGGTGAATCAATGTATAAAAAATGGTATTTCGAAGTTGTTATTGATCATATTGAACAAGTAACACATGTTCAACCACACATACGTATCGGTTGGGCGACAACGGACTTTCAACCATCACCTGGCCATGGTGATGGATTCTCATCGAACGGAATTGGTGATAATACATACTCATATGGTTTCGATGGACGATATGTTTGGTTTGCTGGACGAGCATATGATGTATCGAACCGAGTTCTGCTACCTTCGGATAATATGCAGCATATTGGCTTTAAAAAGAATGATGTTATTGGATGTTTATTGGATTTAACTATTCCCGAAATGTGGTTTTCATTGAACGGTTTACCAGTTAAAGGTCTCCTGAGAGAGTTTAACGTAACTGGAATGTTCTATCCAGCAATTTCGCTATCATCTCGTGTCAGGTAAGATTACCTTCATTAAATTTATTTCAGGCCTGCCGAACTCGATAAAAATTTAGTTGCCGATTTATTTTTGGTGCTGAACATGGTCGCTTCATCCATCGGCCGCCGGAAGGAGCCGCTCCATTGTATGAGGCAATGCTAGCTAAACAAAAAGTGGCGATCGAGCCGTGTTTTTCATTTGGTAATATCGAACGCAATCGTTTGGATGGTCCAACCCAATTTCAACATCATATTGCGTTCACACCACAACCAGTGCGAACCACTCATATAACTTTTCCAGCACATTTGGAGAATGTTCGAGATCGCTTAGCTGAGAATATTCACGAAATGTGGTCAATGAATAAAATATCCTGTGGTTGGCGTTTCGGCGAAGTGAGTTTTCATTGTACAGAAACAAATCTGAGTTTAATCATAAAACTTTCTCGTTCGTTAGTTTCGAGATGATTCGCAGAAAGTTCATCCATGTTTAACATCATTCGATCGTCTTCCAATGGCTGAAAAACAATATCACACTACAACAGCACTGGAAAATTTAAAGTAAACTCATATCGAACGACAACTGCTTTTCCTAACCTTCATGTTCATATAGGAGTTTGTTAGCTCTTGGCTATCATATTGGCGTAGAAATCAAAAATGATGATCGCCGATTCAAATATGTTAAACTGCCCAACACATATCTTCAATCAAATGGTTACAAACCACAACCATTAGATCTTTCAAATATTGTTCTATCAACAAAAATGGAAGAACTAATTGAAACATTAGCAGAGAATACACACAATGTTTGGGCAGCTGGAAGAATCAAAGATGGATTTACATATGGAATAGCTGATGTAAGTACACTGTGACACTTATTTAAATAACAGATTCTTCAGGTTAACCTTCACTAGACTTCGAATAGATCCGATTGACTCGGTGTATAGGTCAGAATAACTTTCGATCAGTCTAGAAATTAGTCATACACTAAGTCGATTAATACCAGAAGGCGAGAAACATCTCCAATTGCAAATAGGAACCTGCAGGGCGCGACATATTTACAGTTCGTAATCTGACCTTGTTCGGTTCTATAATTACACGAGTTTCTCGTGAGATCATGTTACACGAGTTTTGATTTCTAATGTATTCAATGACCATACGAATCAAGATCTCGTCGGAAATCCAAGTTAGCAATAGACATCGATGTCTGTGTACTATATTACAAGAAATCTGATAAATCGATTATTATTGTTATTGACATCTGTCGAATTTCGCCTAATCTAACATGAATTGACATGTGCTCTATCACAACAGACGAATTCTTCTTTAAATAAATACACTCCTTTTTAGAATCCACGTCAAAAGCGAAGTCCGCATTTGATTCCATATGCGATTGTTGATGATAGCATTAAGAAAATCAATCGTGATACAGCGAGTGAAACGGTTAAAACTCTTTTGGCGTATGGATATACGATTGAACCACCTACAGGTGACGTGGAAGATCTTAATCGTCGTAATCGTGAAGCAGCGAATGCATCGTCGAGTGAACGAATTTCGAATTATCGTACATATCGTGCTGAACAAACGTTTGCTGTCACACGTGGTAAATGGTATTATGAAGTGGAATTGTTAACACCTGGTCAGATGTTAATTGGATGGGCACAAGTATCGAAACTTGATGCTGCTTCTCCACTTGGAACCGATGCGCATGGATATGCCTTTGATGGCTTCCATTCTCGACGTTTTCATCATAATATGTCGGATGGTTTCGGTAAACAATGGTCGAAAAATGATGTCGTTGGTTGTATGATTGATTTACACGACAAGACAGTCAGTTTTTCATTGAATGGAGAATTGATGTTGGATAATTTTGGTAATGAAACAGCTTTTGATGGATTAGAGGTTGATGGTATTGGATATGTACCTGCATTAACATCATTCAGTGGACAAAAGGCACGATTAAATTTTGGGCAAGATGTTAACACATTAAAATACTTCACATCGTGTGGCTTACAAGAAGGTTATGAGCCTTTTTGTGTGTAAGTATAGAAAGTCATAGGAAAAGTACTTGATCATTTTTCTGTTGATATCTCTAGGAATATGACGAGAAGTTTAACATTCTGGTATTCGAATTTCATACCTCGTTTTGAAATTATTAAATCTGACTCATCGTCGTTTGAAGTGACTCGAGTTGGTGCGAGGTATGCCTTTGAAATTGTCTCAATGATTTCATTCTTTCGTATAGTCGAGATAGTTCACCATTGATCAAACTTCAATCGCGATTATTTGGAACATTGGATAAAGTGGAGTTTGAATTTCTTCGTCTGTCATTACCACTTTGTTGTCACGACACGTTCACACCGAAGTATGTTCAGTTGGCTTGTATAAATCAAACGATTGACGTTTTCACTTCTCTACTTTCACAGACAGCTGACTCTTGAACGACGACAAATCGCTTTACATGAATATCTGGAATCTCAAGAAGAAAAACGTGCATTCGCTTTTCCACCAACATCAGGTTCTGCAGTTCGAACCAAATCATTTTCACATGGCACATCTGACACAATGGATTCACATATAACTAATCAAACGGATACTAATCCGAATTTTCTTTCACCAGACACAATCACCAATAAATCTGGACGCAATGCAACGAATCTACTAGTTAAATTTCGCGATCCAAATGCATCCAAGAAAAGTCCATCACCATCACCATCATCAGCATCGATGGCAAATGGTCAAGGTACTCTAATGAATGGTTCGTCTACAAATGAATCCATTGATCGTTTGGGCAAAAGCAATCCAAAAGGATCAACAAGTAAACTTAATAACTTCTTTCAGCGATTCTCGAAAGAACCTCAAGCATCGAATGAATCAGCAGTAAAACCCTCAAAGCGTACGGTAAAAGTCAGTGGAACTAGTTCGACCAGTGGTGGACAACCTACTCAACCTCAATCTGTCTTAAAAGTTCCGACGATCAATTCGCCATCGACATCTACAAGTACAACAGCAAAATCAAGCAATATTAACACCAGACGATCATTTACAGACAACGAAGCCGAACTTAATGATCAAACAAATGATTTGGAACATGATGAAATTCGCGCTATTAATGAACATGTTCACGAATATTATTACGCCGTTAGAATTTTACCTGGCCAAAATCCTCGCTCAGTCTTTGTCGGCTGGGTTACATCAAGATTCAAACCTATTTTACCCAAAGAAGGCCTTTCCGATGATTCGTCGATAACATCAGCGATTAAATTATCCAAATTAATCCGACGTTGTACGATTACTCAAACCGCCGAAGATGGCTCTATATTGGAAAGTGCTAGTCGACAAGATGCGTACATGTTCTGTGCTAGTGATTTATTAGAGAATATGCCAGATCAAGAAGCTGTTGCACGACGTGTTGTTAATGGACTCTTAATTGGTTGTTTATGTGACGTGTCAACAGGTCACTTAACATTCTACGTTAATGGAAAAGAATCAGCACAGAAACTTGAGGTATGAATTGAATCGAATTAATGAGAAGATTATTTTCTTATCAGAAATTAACAGATGTTACGAGACAAATATCTCAAAAATGTACTAAGAAATCATGCTTAAAAGAGTTGATCTTTTCCTGTTATGGGAAAAATATTTTCATAACCTTTGCATAAAACTATTGGAAAACATGAGCTTTTACAGATAATGAGCTACCTTCGATCGAAGGTTATACTTATTTGTTTACATTTTACACTGCAATGAACTTAATCTATTAACATAATCGACGTTTCCTACGTTAATTTTAAGGTTGAACCCGGTACAAAACTTTATCCAGCAGTATTTGTCGAACCAACTGTCAAAGAGGTTCTTCAATTCGAATTGGGACGTATTAAAGTAAGATGATGAATTGAATAAAAGTCCAATAACATCACTGTTGTTCTTCATGTAGAACTGTTTACCATTGACTGCTGCGCTATTTCCCAGTTTGAATCGTGAGGAGCGTTTTCTTCCACAATTGCCATCTCGTTTGAATGTCCAATCGCTTGTCCGTTGTCATTGGTCACGTGTACCGAATGCAAATCTCCGTTGCCAACAATTGAAATTATCAGATGTTCGGGGATGGAGTGTTTTCGTCGAAGATCCCGGTAAAGAATCTTTACTGAATAACCCATACCTTATATACTCTTGTTTTCATAGTTCAAATGGAAGCTATCTATGTTCCAGAAGATGATCGATGTACTGACATTTTAGGTTTAGTTGAAGATGAAGATGATCTCAAGTATTTACATTTGATTCATTGTTTTTCCAGTAGTTTTTACGAAATTATTTAGTTTCTGTTCGAATACATTGACTTTATACAATGCAATTTGTGCTCAAGGAAATAATCGTGTTTCACATGAAATATGCAAATTAGTCGACGAGAAACAATTGATGTACTGCGTTAAAAATCCATGTAAGTCACATATACATTCTCATTTTCAATTCATATGTGATTTTTCTGGTAATATTTAGATTTATGTGGGCCTATTCGAGTCGGTATTCATAATCTGTTAATTGCTCTACATTTTGAGACACATGTCAAAGCTCGGCAAGAAGATTCGAATGACTAACCTTCTTATATGAGCATAAATTTGTTTTGTTCTTTCTAGAAGTTTAACATCACATGAATTCATTATTCCATTGTCAGGTTTACTTCGAAAGAATGTTTTACTACGGTCACAAAATTCACCTGAACAACAACATATTTATGCAACAACGACGTATATACCCGCAATGGAAAACTTTCTCTCTGTACGACCAAAATTAATCAAAGAAGAAGAGTAAGTTTTCGAACGAAGTTCTATTTCTTCTCAATTTCGTTTTCTTTCAGTTTTAAAATCGAACGTGAACGCAAAGTACTTGTTCCACCACCATTCAATATCGGCAGTCTCAAAGAATACGTCATGAATTGTTTATTTGATGCGATTAGTAAATGTTCAAGTCATCTTCGCGATCCTGTTGGTGGCACTTTTTCGAACTGGCTTGTGTAAATATGTTCAATCGCACTCTTTTCTTCACATTGTTCTTCATTGATTGTAGACCACTCCTTCAATTAGTTGATGCTCTGCTTGTCATGGGTTTATTAGGTAATTAGAATAAATCTCCGTAGGTTTGATTTGCAGGAATTTTCTAATGTAGAAGTGAATGATATTCAACAGTTATTATATTTTATTGATCCAACATCATTCGCATCGGATAGCGATAGACATTTAGATGAAGGTTTACTCCAAATGAGATTAGACGAGCCCGTTAAACTGCAATTATGTTACGTTTTACAACATCTATGTAATTATCAGTTACAGCATCGTATCGAAGCCTGTATCGCATTTTCAGAAGAATTCGTCGGAAGATTACAAGCGGTAAGTTCGATTCGATGGTTGTTTAATTTGCAAAATTCGATTGTTTAGGATCAAAAACGTCGGTACAATGTTTTGAAAGAGTCAAGTTTGCCACCAGCATTAATGGCAAAGAAAACTCGGGAATTTCGTTGTCCACCGAAAGATCAAGTAAGTTGATGAGTAAAGACGAGCATGAGATTGAGTTTGTTATTTAGATGCAAGCATTGATGGATTTTAAACGCGAGGCAGGAGAAGAAGCTGTCGGTAATGAAGATATTCAAGAAGAGATCAAAGAAATGTTGAAGAATTTCCATTCGAATTTACTTGTTTTACAGCAAGTTGTCGAGGTTTGATTTGAAAGTTCGGTTTGACTCGTTTGCTGAGTATTTTCTTAGGCGAATGATGATTATTCGAATGCAACCAAAGTCTCGAAAGGCAATGAGATGGATCATGCAGAACAAATCTCTTTATTTTCTCGTTTACTCGAAATTCTCATTCGTCATGCAATAAGAAAGAAAACTGACAGTGCAGTTAGTAATCTCGATAGACAACTAATGTGGAAACCAGGAAGTAAAATCAAAGCAAAGCGTATTTTATTGTCATGATTCACCTCTTTCTATTTCATAGAAACGCTTTCCGAAGTGATCAAATCAACTGTTATTCGATGGGGTCGTGGAACTCATATCGCTGATCCAAATTTGATTCGAGAGATGTTCAAATTGATCTATAACCAATACGACGGAATTGGAGAGGTAATGTGTCTAAATTCATTATCATCTGTATGGAAAGTCTTTTATTTGTAGATTTCGCGTTGTCTCGAGCGAACGTATATTATCAATGAGAAATCAGTACCTGATATTAAATTGTTACTGCGGAAATTGAGTATTGTTCGTGCTCTACTTACCGTACAAATGGATGCCGATGAAGAAGGAATAATGATATCATGTTTGAAGTAAATTTTGTCTTTGCACATTCGATGAACTATACGGGAGAAAAAAACATAACTTTGACTTTTAGTGATATTATGGATAATCGAGTGTTCTACCAACATCCGGATTTGATGCGGACATTGTGTGTTCATGAAACAGTGATGGCAATCATGGTTAATCGCTTGAATAAGAGTAAACAAGAACAGACCTCTATGTCATCGATCGGTGATATGGATGGTTTCGCTCAAACAAACGAAATAGGAGAAAATTTAGAGATTCATCCAGCTAAAGTAATAGAAAACAAAGACAATTCATTGTTTCGATAGTTGATTCTTGCAGGAAGATAAAGTTGAACTTGTTACAACGTGCTGTAAATTCTTATCGTATTTCTGTCGCACATCTCGTCACAATCAACGTGCTATGTTTGAACATTTGAGCTTTCTTTTGGAGAACAGTTCAATGTTACTTTGTATGTGGATGAAAAAGATATTTTGTGTCTTAATTCGTTTCATTTTCAGCTCGTCCATCACTTCGGGGTTCAGCACCGTTGGATGTTGCAAGTGCTAGTGTTATGGATAATAATGAGTTAGCATTAGCTCTACGGGAATCACATTTGGAGAAGATTGCCTCGTATTTGTCTCGTTGTGGTACAACAAGAAATGAAGAATTGTTTCTGCAAGGTTATCATGATATCGGTTGGGATCCTGTTGATGGTGAACGGTTCGTATTCTACTAGGATGTGTTTCGTTTGAGAAGTACGTTCTTTTATCATTTAGATTTCTCGATTTCTTGAAATTCTGCGTTTGGGTCAATGGTAAGATTGATAGTTCCAGTAAGTTACCGTATAATCGTTTGTATCCATGTTCTAGGTGATACTGTGGAGGAAAATGCAGATTTAGTAGTTCGTTTGCTTATTCGTCGCCCGGATTGTTTAGGCCCTGCATTGCGTGGTGAAGGCGGTGGTTTACTCAAAGCAATTCGAGAAGGTATCGCACAGTCACTTTACATCGCACGACGACAAAATCCCGATGATCCTGTTATACAAGCTGCTTATCAAGAAATCATCGATGATGAAAGCATGCATAATTTAAATGAAGAATAGTAAGTTTTATTCTAATCGATAACAAGGATAGATTTCTGAGAGATTAATATATTCATTTCGATGAAGTTCTGTGTCACTGAAACAAGTTTTAGTGTGCTATAAATATTACTTATGTTGCTTTCACTGTCAGTTACTGGTGTCTATATGAAAAGCTGGGCTGTGAAATCTTTAATTTAAAGATTGACTTACGCGTATCGATAGAGAACTAATCGGTTCAATGTTGTTTGTAATCATTCTTCATATTCACTTGAGTATCGTTGCACATACACTAACTCTTTAGCAGCAACCACTGGGCACCGAAAAATATGGCCGACGCGTAAGTGTTAAGTCACACATTGTCTATTTCACTAGACCTCCTAAAGCACAATTGTAAAAGTCTCGATGTCGACCAATTTAGTCGTGGTTTTGTCTTCGATTGTCGATGTTGTCAGCGTTGATAATGCATGATTATCTCATATAAAAAATAAACCTGTTGTTGTTCACGATAAACCAAGCAAAAATTCGACTATTGATTCTGCAAACCAATTCATTGGGACTTTGCTTTCGTTTCATTCTAGCGATCGACTTCAAGTTCGTTTACCATACGAAGATGATGAAGAATATATCGATTTGGGTGCAGCTGAATTATCTTTCTATGCAATTCTCGTGGAGTTATTAGGACGATGTGCACCATCGGAAGAAACAATCAAAATGGGTAAACCAAATGCTGCCAGAGCGAAGTCTATTCTTAAAAGTTTGGTGTCCATGCATGATCTGGAAGGCGTTCTTGGTCTTAAATTTCTTTTACCAAGTAATTTGACTATCAACTATAATTGTTAGAGTGACTTGATGTTTTCTCATTCATTTAGATGATAATTCAATGCCACCTGGCCTTCAACCTTCACATAAAATGTCGATTATTCTATTTCTTGAACGTGTCTATGGTATTCCTGATCAAGAAACATTCTTTCGTCTTGTTGAAGACGCGTTTCTTCCCGATATTCGTGCTGCTACAATTCTCGACATGGTAAACCAATCTTTTTCTCGTAGATACAAAACTAAGATAAAGTTTTATTTTCTTTGCAGGCTGCAATTGCAGAAAGTGATATGGCATTGGCATTGAATCGTTATCTGTGCAATAGTGTTATACCATTAATGACGTCACATGCACACTATTTTGATGATTGCGAACATCGAGCATCACTTTTAGAGTCCACATTGCATACAGTTTATCGTCTATCGAAATGTCGTTCGTTGACGAAGAATCAACTCGATGTTATTTGTGATTTTCTACTTTCGTTTGCAAGGTAAACATTCATCTATAGCGTTGTTTTCTCAAAAAAGAAACAAACCTCTATTCTAATTCAGTCAACTAAAACCGTCGATGATGACGCCTTTATTGAGAAAACTTGTTCACGATGTACCGGCGTTAACTGATCAAACAATTGTACCACTACGAGTATGTATTACTGCTCTTTTTAGTGATTACACTAAGTGATATTTACTTCTCTCGTAGATGTTAACACAATGGTATGATCGATGTAGTCGTTATTATAGTGTCGCAGCGACAGAAGAAGAAAAACGGTTGACCATGTTACTTTTTCAAAAGATTTTTGATGCACTTGCATCACGAGTATGTTCTTCGAGGATAATTTTGATCTGTAAAGATACTCATCTGAAATTAGGCTTATGACCCGGAATTGTTTGGCAAAGCTCTTCCATGTTTAACTGGTATGATTTATCTGTAGAAGAAAAATCGAATATATGTATATATATATTGTGTTCTGATAGGTATTGGCAGTGCGTTATCGCCTGATTATTCATATTCATTAAATCAACAAGATTATTTGGATCAAGAGCGAGAGAAAGCAGAAATGAGTCGAGTTTATGAACCTAATCCAGCAGATACAACCAAGTTCGTCAATTCTGAATATTTCGATATGTACATATTTGATGTGTTATTTTAGCGTGGTATTAATTCCTGGACTGGAAGAGTTCGTTAGAGCTTATGCGGAAAGTGTTCACGATCAATGGTCATATGCGAAAGTAAATCAATTCAATTAGTCTTTGTTCTAAGCCGGACAAATATCTTATTTAGATGGATCAAGGTTGGACTTTAGGTGAACAGATCAACGATAAATATCGGCAACATCCAAATCTGAAACCTTACAAGCAACTTGACCGAAAAGTAGCTATCCCTGTCCAATGTAATTGTGTTTATATCTACTTTGTTTTATAGGATACAGCAAAATTGGAAGATCCCATTCGTGAAGCATTGAAAGCGATTGAAAAACTACAGTTTCACTTAGAAAAGACTGATACGGGTATGACACGTATTGCAACAAAATCGCTGCAGAGAAAGAAACAGAAAGATAAGACTGTACCGGATTATGTACCGAAAGCAATGGACTTTGCTAGCGTAACGATGAATCGTGAAATGCAGGTAATGAATCCGAAGAGTGAAAAATAATCTAATCAACTTTGTACTATCAAGGAATTATCTGAAGCTTTGGCTCGAAATGCACACGAAGTGTGGGGAAAACAGATGAGGAATCGTCTGGCTGCAATCGGTCGGTCGATCTATTTGCACATTCTTTCTGTTACTAGAATATCTATCTTTTTAGGTGGCGGTCTTCATTCTCGTCTTGTTTCATACGATTTATTAACGGATAAGGAAAAACAGAAAGATCGGAAATTCTATCAAGATCTTGTCAAATATCTTAACATATTTGGCTATCGAGTTGTCAAGTAATTTAACATTGTCTTCCACATTTCGAATATTTCTTCCGATATTCTTTTGTAGAAAAACATCGGATGATGAAGCAGCAAATAACGCCATTGCCGGACTTGTTTCATCAACATCATCTCTAACGGCAATAAGTGCATCTCCAACGACGGAAAAACGCTTTGCTTACAGTTTATTGGAAAAACTACTTGAATATGTTGAACGTGCGTCTTCAACAATGCAAAACTATAAAGAGAGTTCCAAGTTCTCTCTACATGAAAGTTATCGTTTATCTACAAAGGACGTGAAATTTTTCGGCAAAGTAACAAATTTCATATGATCCTTGTTGAGATTCAATTGAATCTATTTAGGTCGTGTTACCACTTGTTGAAAAATACTTTCAAGCACATCGAGATTATTTTATTACTGCACCATCATTGAAAACTGGTGGTAGTTATGCGACAGTGAAAGAAAAAGAAATGAGTTGCAGTCTTTTCTGTAAATTGGCATTTCTACTTCGACAAAAATTTAGCGCTTTCGGAAACGAAGTGAATATATCAGTTCGCTGCTTGAAAGTACTCGTACGTGCTATTGATGTCAGGTAAGAATGAAAATCAATGCTATTAAACGAAGATAATCTTTTAAAAATTTTAGCTCGGTGATGAAAAATAGTCAAGAAATGGTTCGAGCGTCATTGTTACCGTTATTTAATAATATTGCAGAAGATCTCAATCAAACTGTACAAAACCTTGAACAAAAGCGCTTCAGCCATATCAAAGGCACATTACAACGTGGAACAACAAGTTTGGCTTATGTTCATATGGTTCTTTTACCGGTGCTTGCATCAATGTTAGATCATTTGGGAAAGAACAACTATGGTGTCGATGTATTCGGTAAGTGATTACCAATTTTGTTTATATGATTGATCGTTGACTTCTTTCATTCGAATAGAAAATGAAATTCAGTTAGCTGGTTATAAAATTCTAAATGCGTTGTGGATTATCGGTACTCAAGGAACGACATTTGTTGACCGGTAATTTTTGTTCAGTCAAATCTTGAAATTGTTTTCACAATATTCGATCACTTTAGCGAATGGATCATTGAAGAATTAAATCGTCATCGACCACTACTCGGTGACTGTCTCAGTTCATTTGCATCATGCTTTCCTATCGCCTTCTTCGAACCTGAATTCAATGGAAATAATAAACATGCATCAAATATCTCGCAATTATCACCTGAAGCTAATGGTAAAAAACATTTTTCTTTATAGATGTTCAATCAAACCGTTTGCATTACTTCTGTAGATGTTATGACAAATGTTGCTAGAACAGTGCCACATTTGACGAAAGTGATCTCGGATATTGAAGAACATTCGGAGGCACGAATTAAATACGAAGATGTACCTCATGTAGTCGAAGTTATTCTTCCATGTGTTTGCTCATATTTACCATACTGGTGGTCAGTTGGACCACAACGAACGAAACAATCAAATGAGTATGTATTCATTCATTTCTGTACTCATTGGAATATCATTTTCTTCTTTTTGTAGACTCAAAGTAACGAATGTAACTGTGGAACACATGAATTCAGTCTTGGGAAGTGTATTGAAATTGATAAATAACAATATCGACGCACCTGAAGCACCATGGATGAAACGAATTGCCGGTAGATTCGAGTTTTGATGCATTTGTCAAGCTATAATTATGTTTGATAGGCTATACTCAAGGAATAATTCTTAATTCATCAACAAGTTTATTAGAACCATACTTTTTACCCGTTTCACAACGCCTGAAAGCGAAATGTGAAGATTTATACGCACAAGAACAATCTCTGAAACATGCAACACGTTTAGAATCATCTGAACGTGAAGATCTCGAAGCCAATCTAATGAAAGTAAGTTCAATGAAGCAACACTTGTCTCGACGAATTTTCTCATGTCTTGCTTCTAGAATTACGAAATTCTCGTTCGTGATCTTTATGCTTTCGGACCGTTGTTAATCAAGTATGTCGATATGCATCGATCTTATTGGTTAAAAAATGGTGATCTATGTGCTGATCAATTGTATAATAATATGGCTGAAGTATTTTCAACATGGTGCAAATCAAAAGTAAACTGAAGAGATACTGAACGTTAATTACGGATCTTTCTTTTAGTACTTTAAACGAGAAGAACTAAATTTTGTTAGTCAACATGAAATTGATAATACAAGTATGTTAATGCCAAGTGGAACAAACCAATCAAACGCTGCGGGAGCAAATTCGTCGGATGGTTCAGCAATGAAGAGTGCAAATGAGGTGTCAAACGGAAGTGCAGTGGGAGGAAAACTCAAACGAAAGAAACGTCGATTAGATAAAGAAAAATTTACCTCGCTAAGTGTTGCTTGTATAAAACGATTGTTGCCTATTGGAATGAATATGTTTGGTGGACGAGAACAAGAACTTGTTCAATTAGCTAAACATAAGATGATCGACGTAAGAAACAAACGTTGAAATGAAAGATGTTTATATAACTAGCGTGTTTTTTTTGTAGACGAAGAGTGCGCACGATGAAAAAATTGAAAATCCAACTGAAGAACAAATGATTTTGGATTTAACGGTTCGTTCAAATCTCTTTCACTTCTACTTTACGATCTTGTTGTTACATTTCTAGAGTGATCAAGAAGAAACCATCGAAGAATTCCTTCGTGATATCTTTTTTGCTCAAGAACAGGTACAGACTACTTCTTTGTTCAGTATTTATACATACAAATGATTGAATAGGGCGAAGTTGTCAATAGAAATAATTGGCAAAGTGCGTTATATCGAAAGATCGGTTCGAAATCTCATCAAACTGGTATTGTCCATTCACAAGCAACCTCGATAAAAAATATGTTAAAAATGGCGAAAGTTTTGTTTGGTTTAAATCTTGTCGATCATCCTCCAACACATAATCGAGGAACATGGAGAAAATTAGTTTCATCTCAACGAAAGAAAGCTATCATGGCTTGTTTTCGTATGGCACCATTACATTCGGTTCCACGACATCGGGCAATGAATATGTTTCTGCGTGCTTATCGAGAATTATGGCTTGAAGCAGAAGAAGATATTCGTGCACGTTTGATCGAACAACTTTGTGTAACTGAATTCCGTTGACTCTGTTCTTGTTTTCGAAGTGTTTAGCTTTTCTATTGTAGGAAGAATATCAGGAAATCAATGATCAAGAAGTGACAACCATTAAAGAAGAAAATGAAACGGAAACGGAAACGTTAACGTTAACCATGACCATCAAACCGGATCCATTGAGACAGTTATTGCAATGTCTAAATCGAGCGGCAACAACTGCTCAAGTGTTTTCAATAACTGAAGATATTGTTTATCTATCATATTCGACTATAATGAGCAAGGTAACATTTTTCGAAGGTGAAAAACAAAGTGAAATGGTAGAGAAATCTTCTTCGTTGTAGAGCTGTGTGATCGAAGAAGACGATGATGATGGTGGAGCAGAAGAAGTCAAATCATTTCAGGTAATAAATCAAATGAACGAGATTTAGAGATGTCTGAATATCGGAGATCATCATGTATTTAGGAACAAGAAATGGAAAAGCAAAAGTTACTCTATGAGCAAAATCGACTGGCTAATCGAGGCGCTGCTGAAACTGTGCTACTCTATATCAGTGCAAGCAAAGGTTGGTTGGAGATTTTTGGTATTAGTTTCGAAATTGCTTATCTTTACATTTAGGTGAAAATAACGAAATGCTCCAACGAACGTTACAACTCGGTATATCATTATTACATGGTGGTAATCGTGAAGTTCAAAAAGTAAGTTGACTTTTTAGGTATAGATTCTTTCTTATAGCTACTTATTTCCAATCAATTTTAGCGAATGTTGGACTATCTAAAAGAGACAAAAGATGTGGGATGTTTTACTTCACTAGCAACTTTAATGGCTAATTGTAGTGTATTAGATCTCGATACATTCGAACGTTGTATCAAAGCTGAAGTATTGGGTATGTTACTTTGAATTTTCTTGAGGAAAAATGAGTTGAAGAATTGTGTTGCTAGGTGTTGGTGCTGAAGGAATGGCGGGTGAAAAGAACTTGCATGATGCGGATTTTACCATATCACTCTTTCGTTTCTGCCAATTATTATGTGAAGGACATAATCTTGAATTTCAAAATTATCTCCGTTCGCAACCTGGAAGCAATACCAATGTGAATATTATCATTTGCACTGTAGATTACCTTCTGAGTTTACAAGTAAGTCGTCTGGAAAATATTTCATGGTTGATTGAGAAACAATATTTGTAGGAATCGTTGATGGATTTCTATTGGCATTACTCTGGCAAGGAAACAGTCGATGCACACGGAAAGGAAAATTTCTGTCGTGCAATCAATGTTGCTAAACAGGTGTTCAATACACTAACTGAATATATTCAGGTTTGATAGAAAAAAAAATCTCTTTCGATTATTGATGATTCGATATTTTTGTAGGGTCCATGTCCACAAAATCAATTGGCGTTGGCAAACAGTCGTCTGTGGGATGCTATTTCAGGTTTTCTTTACATTTTTGCTCATATGCAACGCAAATTATCTCAAGTAAAGCTCATTTTTCTTCATATCTACTGATCATGGGCTTCTTTTTCATTGTATAGGATCCGATGCAAATCGAACTTCTGCGGGAACTGATGAAATTGCAAAAGGATATGATCATTATGTTATTGTCAATGCTTGAAGGTAGATAATTCATTTGACGATGAACATTCAATATCATCGTGTTTCTCTATTTTAGGCAATGTTCTCAACGGTCCAAGTAAGTACTTGAATCAAATCGAAAAATTAGCCTACATAATTGATTATTGTAGTTGGTAAACAGATGGTTGATACATTGATTGAATCTCAATCGAATGTTGAACTATTACTGCAATTTTTTGATATTTTCCTCAAAATGAAAGGTTTAACAACATCCGAAGCGTTTCAAGAATTCGATACGAACAAAGATGGATTCATTTCACCGAAAGAATTTCGTCGAGCCATGGAAGCGCAAAAAATGTACACAACGTAAGTGAAATCTTTCTCTCGAACAACGATTTCCATAATCGATGTTAATCTTTAGTCAAGATATTGATTACATCTTGATGTGTGTCGATACAAATCAGGATGGAAAAATTGATTTCATGGAATTCACCGAACGTTTTCATAATCCCGCGAAAGATATTGGTTTTAACATGGCAGTTCTACTGACCAATCTGTCTGAACATATGCCACATGATATACGTTTACAACGTTTAATGGATAAAGCGAAAAGTTTTCTCTCGTACTTTCAAGAATATCTTGGTCGAATTGAAATCAAAGGTGGAGCTGGTTATATCGAACGTGTTTATTTTGAAATCACCGAATCTAATATTGAACAGTGGAATAAACCACATATTAAAGTTCGTATTCTTCTTGAATTCCTCGCGTGACGCTGATGGCATATCTTTGAATTTAGGAATCGAAGAAAGCATTTTTGCATCTGGTGGTGAATGAAACCGATGATAAAGAGAAATTAGAACAGTTTATCAACTTCTGTGAAGACACGATTTTTGAAGTAAGACTCGAATCACAATGAGAATTGACTGATGACTGAATGTTTTTCCAGATGCAACACGCAGTTGCACTCAGTGGGGAAGAAGATGATCAAGTTACTCAAACAGCGACATTCTCCGATGAGGAAATTGGTAATAATCATCCAACTACAAAAGAACCTGTTAAACTCGCTTTATCATACACATGGACTGCAATCAAAGGTATCTTTCATCTACTTCGTCCATCAACAATACGAAATGGCTATCAACAATTTCGTCAAATGACTTTGAAAGATATGATCAAAAGTCTCTTTGCATTGTTTGTCAAATTTCTTCATTTACTATTAATCATCTTCGTTTACGCAATAAGGTAAGTTCATTGATCTTTGCTTTGAAGCATGTGTTTGCAGTGTTGGGGTTTTTCTTCAGTTTGCATGTTTTTTTCTTCATGAAATTCTTCTTATCTGCACGGTGGTACTATTGCATGGGCACAAAATTGAATCGCTATCTTGTTCGTCTAGTAAAAATTCGATTCCGATATAAAAATCTCGAATATGAACCGTCATTATTGGTTAACAAACATTACAACTCGAATCGATATTTTTTTCACGAGAGAAAATCAATTCCATTTTATCGTCAACCTCTCAAACGATCAAATACGAATTCTCAATTCAATCGGTTTGCTCATTATCGTCGTTTTGCATGTTTATTTGTGTCTCGTTTGATTGTAATTATATAAATACTAAACTTTCTTTGTTCATTAGAACATTGACATATTGTGTATGGAATTTAATGGTTGGAGAAGATCAACCGGAAGTGAAACAAGAACGAGTCGCTTTGCCACCACCAGTGAAACGGCGAGATCTACATATGCGTATGTCATGATCAATGGCTAAATGGATCTTTAGTACTTCGTTTTCTTTAGCTTCGGTGAACATCTCACAGATTGGATTTGATACCAGTGAAGAATCATCGACCGTCAATGCTTTTGGTTTTGGTCTTGGTCTTAGTTCTGATCCATCACCGAAACACAAGTAAATATTCAAGTACTCATTGAACTAATATATAACATTGCACATTTAGACTCACTTTGAACGAAGATTCGGTCAACACACTCAATTTTGATAGCGTTCAAACCTACGATGTCGACCAAAAATCTCTTTATGTCAATAATATGGACTCAACAAATGGACAATCAATGCCAACATCAGTCAGTACCACTGCACACATTACTCCGTTAACACAACATACACAGCATCAACATACAATAACAGCTTCTGTACCACATCAACCACAATTGACAACAACTATTCAAATGTCGCCAAATATGATTGAGAAATCGAAACAAGCACTTGAAGTAAAACGAAGGTTTCTTACTAAATATTAGTTGATATTTATTTCTTGCTGATTAGGTTAATATTCAAGCTGAATATCAACAAAAAATTGCGATGAATAGTGGAAATGGTCTGCCAGTCGAGGATGATGATTTTATTCCACCCGAACCACCTCCGCGAACCGATTACGGAAAGAAAATATTGGTAATAAATTACATCATTCTTTTTGTCAAATGTCCACCTCGTTCTATGAATTCTAATAGGCGCTCGTAGCACGAAATTATCATCAGTTGAAATTTATGGCTTTGTGTCTCGCGTTTGTTATCAATTTTCTGATGCTCTTCTACAAAGTAATAGACACTGCTTCAATCAAGTTCATTGGTACTATTGTTTGAATCTTTCTAGGCTATGCCAATGGCGGCTGCAGCTAGTGAACCCATCGCTTCTGACGCTATCGAACGAATTGATGAAGATGATGATGAAGTTATTATGATGGATCCAAAGAATTTCTATATGGTTTATCTCTTACGAATAAGTGCATTTCTACATTCATGTATAGCATTCTTGATGATGATTAGTTACTATAAACTGAAAGTAGGATTAGCTTATTGTTGTCAGACTTTGTTTATAGTTGATATTTTCCCTTAGGTGCCGTTGGTAATATTCAAACGTGAGAAGGAAATTGCTCGTAAGCTAGAATTTGAAGGCGCTTGGTTAATCGATCAGCCAAGTGAAAATAATTCGTGGATATTAGCTTATCTATCACGTGAATGGCATAAATTAGTGATCAGTTCGAAATCATTTCCTGATTCATACTGGGATAAATTTGTGAAGAAGAAAGTTCGGAATAAATATTCGGATCAATTTGATTATGATGAATTGAGTCGGTTTCTCGGCATGGAGAAGAATGATACACCGGGAAAATTCGAAATTGTTAAGCCAGTCGAAACGGGCTTATGGGGAAAGTATGTAGACGTAAAAAGAAAACAGAAGAGACATCGAAACATCTTTTCGTATTTAGAATTCAATCGATTGATATACGATATCAAGTTTGGAAATGGGGTGTTATTTTTACGGATAATGTAAGTAATAATAGCACGTTTCGATGAATATTTTGGATTGGATTGACTATTTTTTAGTCATTTCTTTATGTATTCTTCTACTTCATTTTTTCTGTTATTGGCAATTTTTCATATTTCGTCTTTGCAATTCACTTACTCGATGTCGCAATTAGTGTTAAAGCACTAAGCACAATCTTGAAATCAATTACGCACAACGGTCGACAGGTAAATAAACGCGAAATAGAGAATTTAATGACGAATTGATTCGATTCTTTTGTAGTTGCTTTTAACAATTATGTTAATGGCTGTGCTTGTTTATCTTTATACAGTTGTAGCATTTAATTTCTTTCGTAAATTCTACACGAAGGAAGAAGATGAAGAAAAAGAAGAAAATTGTAAAGATATGTTCACTGTATGTTTCTTCAATCGAAGATTTTATCTCACGAAATGACTCGATCGTGTTCTTTTTACTTTAGTGTTTCAAGTTTCATTTATATTCGGGTATACGAGCTGGTGGTGGTATTGGTGATGAATTAGAATCACCAAATGGCGATCCACTTGAATTATATCGAATTGTTTTTGATATAACATTCTTCTTTTTTATCATCGTTATTCTTCTTGCTATTATTCAAGGTTTGATTATTGATGCATTTGGTGATCTTCGAGAACAACTTGATTCAGTGAAAGAAACACTTGAAGTAAAAGATTTACACATTTTTATTCTCATAGTTTGTCGATGTTGATATTCATAGTCTAAATGTTTCATTTGTGGAATTGGGCAAGAATATTTCGATAAAGAACCGCATGGATTTGAAGTAAGCGAACATTGATTATGTTTTCGTGATACAACGTCGAATTATTGTGCTTTAGACGCATACAACGGCTGAACATAACTTTGCAAATTATATGTTCTTTCTAACGCATCTTTTGAATAAGCCAGACACAGAACATACTGGACAGGTTGGATATTTCAGTGAAATTTATCAATATATTCTTGTTTTGTTTATTTATAGGAAAGTTATGTTTGGGAAATGTACCAAAGTCGCAAATGGGACTTTTTCCCTATTGGTGATTGTTTTCGACGCCAATATGAACCGGGAGGCGGGGGAGCAACATCAACAGAAAGTTAACAAGATTTATGATAATTTGATGAGCCTCACCGGTGACTTCTTTTCTTCATATACCAAGGTGCTATGTTTTCTTTCTTTTTCTCCTCATTGATACCAAATGGTTAATAGCAAAGAGACTATTCTATATATGTTTGTTTGTCTGTTCTTTTCTTTTCTACAATCACACACGGTCTTGCACTATTTTTTGCACAATTTGTACGGATTTTTTTTCTAACTATATCTAAATCACTTGCTTTGGTATTTGTGTGTGTGTGATTAGGAAAATATTCTCATTTAAATAAAGAGAATTGACCCCTAACCAGAATATCTATGAAATGTTTGTACTCATTTCTTCAATTATCTTATAGAATAAATTTTTCTAACAAAACGCCCTTGTCATTCGTTCGCATCATCGAGGTTAAATGTCACAACGTACTCAAAGAAGAAAGTTCGTACGGAAGATTAAAAAAGAAGAATGTCGATATCTATTGACGTGTCTCTGTATCAAGTACATTACGCAATCTTGTACGAAATCATGTCTTTTTATAGCGATGTTGCCGATGGTAAACGATACATTCATCAATGATGAAAACTGTTTTGAGAAGAAAGAGATAACAGATCTAAAAAAAAAGAATTCGATGACTTATTGTTTCTGTTCTTCGGAAATGTTCTTCACTTTTCTATTCGCATGCCAGAAGGAAAAGAAACGTACCCTATGACTCAAAACGCTTGCCACTCTTTAGATAAGTGAACGATGACTCATCAGATTTTGCGTGTCGTATAAAAGAACACTACTTCGTTGTTGTGAATTTCATAAACACTGTTGAAATAAACTATGCCACCAGCGATGACAACAACAGAAGTAACTTATGAAAAACTTGCAAATTTAGATGATGATGGTGAGTTACAACATGTTCCATCGTCAACAGTCAATTATAAACTTCGTGCAACGGCTAATTGGGTTAAGAAACCTTTTAAGCAGCGAAGCTTTTGGGAACGTTTAGCAACATTAGATCTAGCGAGTGATAAATGCTATGTTGTTCAACCACAAAATCCTAATCCACCACCTAATCTTAATGTTTGGCGTGAACGTCTATGGTTAATTATAACAATCGCACCAGCTTTATTGATTCAAGCACTTTGGTATTACATTATACCTGAAACAAGTTATTTCCATACATGGCATCCAATTTTTGCGTTTGTTTTCTATCACTTAGCTTTTGTTGCATTTACTATTTGTCTTATCAAACATCTCACTTATTACATGGATGTTTACGGCACATTTGATGAACATAATCGACCTCGAGATTATGTTCCTGACAAATACGTACCTCGATTGCTTATAAGTGTTTTAATTTACACATTGGCACGTACTGGAGGTGGACTTATTCTCGGTGGATACAATCGTCATGCATGTCCATCACTTGGCCATACGATTTCCTGGCTTTTCCCGGTTAAAATCGGTCTTTGGTTGATTTCACTTGATTTCTTCTTCTATTCGTATCATCGTGCAGTTCACACATTTCCCTTTCTTTGGAAATATCATAGCAAACATCATTCAACCAAACATCCAACACCACTTCAATCGATTCTTGCTGATGATATTCAAGAAATAATAGAGATCTTTCTCATTCCTCTACTTGCATCATTAGTGATGCCTTTATCAGCGCACGAATTTTGGATTGCACAATGTATTCTCATGTATATTGAAGGAATGGGTCATAGTGGTGTACGAGCTTTTTGGACACATCCATTGATTGGCGAAGTTTTGCGACCATTTGGAATGGATTTAACAATTGAAGATCATGATTTACATCATCGCTATGGTAAAAGTGGTCAGAATTATGGTAAACAAACACGAATCTTTGACCGAATTTTCAACACTATCAGTGAACGTGTTGAAGGCATAGAAAAATAGAAACATGCAATGTAGCGTTTACATATGAAGATATACTGTAATTAATAAACTTCTTTGTGTTGTTGTTTTTTTGTCAATATTATATGTATTTGAGATCATTGGTAATAATATATTCCAACTAGAATATTCTAACGATATAACATCTGGTTCGTCTTATGATACAACTGAGGGTGAATTGTGAGACATTTGACATATGCATTTCAGCTCTGAAGATGACCAAGATATCTTTGCTGGACATCGAATCTGTCAGCATTGCAATATTTGTATTTATCTGATCAATCTATTGCTGCTATTTCAATGTGATTCATGTGTGGGAAGCATGAATTGGGTCAAAGTTACATTCCAGCGCTCGAGTGATGACTAAAAACTTTGTAACCTTTTATTTTTTGAAAGTTCTGAATACATGTCATGTAATCAACGAAAAATCAATACGTATTCTAGCGTCTATATGCTCTGCGAATATTCTTCCATAGTCGAGAGCACTGTAAACGTAGAAGTCGAAAGATCATTTCAGCAATTTCCATCAACGAAAGAAAACTTATGCCAATCCAAAGACCTGTATGTCCGCCGACGTTGGATATGACATCGACTGGACTGATTGTCGCTTGTTGAGTGTAGAGTTCACTTCGTGTTGTTTCATAAGCCACTTCTAATGAAACATAACTTGCTTGAATTTCTGTTCGCCACGATGTTGACCAATTTGTTGGCAGTGGAATCGTCGATGACTCAACAAACTGTTTGATATCATCGATCACGTGAGTGGATGGTGCCAGAAGTGACGTTGGTCGTATAATAAAATCAACATGTTTACATTCTTGATTGCAAAGAGGACAATAGGAAGTCCAAATACTTCTTGTATTCATAATTTCAGCAGCTGCTTCAGAATAGCATGGATTACTCACATTACAAAGTGGAATATGAATCGATTCATTGGAGCCTGGTAGTACAATATAACGTGCTGCCCAACGAGTAGGATTTCCACATCCACATTTCTCATAACTAATACAAATCATTGTCAATTGAAAAAGTGATACAGGATCTACTTACACATAAGATTGTATGCACGCAAAATAGCATGGTAGTTCAAAATATCCGTAATCAGTATCATGATATTCGTTATACATGGCTGCCATTCCTTGAGTAATAATATCATTACATGATGTATAAGGAGCTGGGAGAAAAAGGCTCGTTTTCTTCGAATAGCCTAATTTATGATGTCGACCAGGAGCCAGTTGCATGGCTGTCATCTCAATAATTGGCAATTCTTCATTATCATGAACTAACACGGCTGCACCAATACCTGTACAATTAGATTTTACATATGCCATAATGAATCGTGATTTCATTCTTACCACTCGATATATACGGTACATACTGATGTTGATGGACGTATAGATCTAATTCAAAGAGACCAGTTGCTCCATTGTCTGCATTGTATCGTAAGGTTTTATTGAGTGTACTTTTTGGTTTAGCATTAAATGTGTAGCATAAACCAAATCTTGGTGACATGAACCAAGTGAAATCAGCAGCTGAACATTTCTCTCCATTGTAAGAACAGGAGATCATCATGGACTCAAGTGAATAGAAATATTCGTGTAAGGATTCATTCCTATTGAGCTTATAAATGAGATAATCTTGTATATATGAAGCTTGAGCTTTGGTGAAGTAATTTTTATCTGATGTATTCGTTAATCCAAGTGTATTGGTATAATTCAGAAATGGTTCGATAAAACGATCATATCGTAATGGAGAATGATTGCAAACAGTTACTGCAGGAAAAGCTTGAGGCCATTCTCCGACAATAGCAACCGATGTTTGAGTTGGAAATTCAAAATATGCACGAATAGATTGAACAATAAAATACGACATAATACCAGTAAAGATGAACAATGAAGTAGACCAGAAGATTCGATTTAATTTACTTTCACTACGAGCGATGCCGGGTATACCATGAGTTGAGGTATTTAAACTGAATTCTTTCACAATCGAACCGGCACGTCGAACTTTGATGTTTGTTCCCAGTGCTTCGGCATTGACCTCAAATGTATGCTTTATATATTTGATCGTGTCGTTCGACATGTTCGCTTCAAACCAATACCTTGTTGACATATTGAAAATTGCATCGACTTATATAGTCGAATGAAGGCTTTGAAAAAGTTTTCATCAAATCCTGACTTTTTCATTGACAAAAACAAACGAGACAGGAGGTTCTATAGTATTGAATTCGTGAAGTTTTGTAGGCTGAAAATAGTGTTTCAACTCGATGTTTTATTCATCATTGAGAACAGTACTTATGTCATTTGAAAGGATTCGAACAATTGCGTGAATGACTTGAAGTGCTTTCATACATTGAATAAACGATATCGTTCTAAGTACAAATACAATATCGATAAATCTGATTGCTCATGCTTCTAATCTAATGAATAATTTCAGATAAAAAAAACATGACGAAGAAAGAAAAACAAATTGTGGTCCAACTATATTGGACGGGCTGCCTGCCGCTGTCTATTCACAAGCGCTATCCCACGACTGCTGAACATGAGGTCTTTGACTTGCTCGCATTTCGCGCCTCAGCCGGTTCAACCTTCCTTAGTCGCCCTGGTGGAAGAGATTCCTCAACATCCACCATGTCGATGCCTAGCTTCGTGCGGACGCTCGATCAACATAGAACAACGACAAACAGGACTCCCGCCCGCAAGTCATTCACACAACTCGACCCCAGAAGTAGCTCCGGTTACAGAAAGACGCCGCGCTTTCCAGTCGTAAATGATCATCATGAAGTGATTATCTATACTGAATTTAGTTGATATGGAGCAATCACATCCATATTGGTAAACTATGGAAAATATCTTTATCGAAATTGAAAGACATCTATTGAATTCGACTCCATCGTTCTATACATATTTCGTTAAATCTCTGATGCACAAGAATAAGTTTCAAGAAAAGAAAGTGCCAGATTGCTCGTTAAGTCGGAATAAATTGTGCGAGACACGATGTGGGTGTATCGTTTGATTATAAATACGAAACGAATAATGGCTTTCTGTTTCTCTTTTTTTTATCAGGCCTGAGCAGATATTTATTCCGATGTATTGCTTAACCCAATTGCCAGTGATGTCAGTTTTACTCTTTCTTTTCTTTCATAAGCCGTTTTTTTTTCGCGTAGATATATTCATATATCGCCTGAGAAACAAGAAAGAGAAAGAGAAAGAAATTGCTCTAGGAGAGGAAGACGAAAAACCTGCATATGTACGGATGTTTGTACAAGGATGGATGTATAAGTGTTAATAAATGTATACATATTATACAGCGCCATTTACATTTGTTCTTCCTTTTCTGTTTTTTTTCGGGCCCAATTCTTTGTCTAGCTGATTCATTTCACAAAATCTACTAAATCGCTTGTTGTTATGTTTTGATTTTTGTGCTTGTCTCTATGACATCATTTGATGTCAGAAAAATGAAAGACACGCATTTGCTATTGTTTTTACTTGATTATTTTTAGTATAAATCATGATGTGATGCAATTGAATAGAAATTCATTGTAAAGAAAAGATGGCGCGATGGGGTCGAATGTCTTCAATGCTTGGCAGTGTCAATGAATACTCACATTTAAAATGGCCATTAACATTTGCCAGTTTATTAACAACATTATTAGCTTTTATTCTTCTACTAAGTTTTCGTTCGGACGCGTGGTTTACCTACGAACTGATTCATGTCGATAATACATCTATTGTCACATCGAATTCCCCGACATATTCTCCATTGATTGAGTATGGCTCATTAGGTCTCTGGTCAATATGTAATAGTCATTATGATGATCCGATTATGAAGTGTGATCTGTGGACCAGAGTAACCCGACCGCATTATTTTAATGTGATTATTGTTCTAATTACATGTGCATTATTTCTTTCCAATTTAACCGTTTTCCCATCATGGGGTGCGTCAATTCTGATTCTATATAATACCGATAATCGTTATATTCGCCATATTGTTGGTTTTATATGGATACTTTTGCTATTAACGTTAATCTCTACTATTGTTCTAATCATCGCAATATTATTAATAGCATTAACGCAGTTCTATTCTCCAGGAAGATTCACTATTCAATCTGATCATCTCTACTTTCGTTCTGGTCCTGGTTTACATTATGCTAGTTTTGGTAAGTATCTTTTTCTAGAATATTCTCCTTTCGTAACGAAATCTGTTGAAATATTTTAGCAACATTTTTGTCGATTATTTGTTTAATCTTGATTATTGTGACATTATTATGGAAGAAAATGATTGAAATGAAAAATAACGAAGCAGAAAAAGACCTTCTGAGACAATTAACTGATGATTATCAACCAGGCTGGCATCGAATGGTTATAGCACCACGTACACCATTAGCAAATGAGCAAGCTGGTGAACCACCACCATATGAATATTGAAAAATCAATTCTGTGCAAATATGTCCGTTTTCACAAAAAATAGCCTTGCTTGGTGATCTGTCAAAATATTTTATGTTCATATATATATACATATTTTGAGAAATAAACGCTTTAATCAATAATAATTATATGAAAACAAACCTATGACCTTGAAATATGTGCTGTCATAAAGGAATTTCTGATAATAAATCGTCGAACGAGATCTATTCGTGACATATAAAAGACCGTCATTAGTAAAGTCGTACGAAAAGCTGATTGTAAATATGAGGATAGAATAGTCATATCTCTGCTGTCTTGTTTTACTAAATAAACAAAAAGTCACATCACCGTACAATAGAACACAACGAAAACACAGAGCAAACAAAATTTTGAAATGGTGGAAAAGCAAAACAAAATCTGAACAGCTACTTAAGCGTGCATAGCTGTCACCTACAAAACATACGCACACATCGAGTACAAAAGAACGCTATCGAACGAACTCAACAAAAGTACGATGCATTCATTTATCGACTCGTTTTGGACGGATACAAGTAATATATTCATATATAAACAGAGCAAAAAAAAGAGACTAGGCTGATTTGAAATAGTTCTTTACTGATGACTTTTCAAGTAAATGTACGAGTTCATGTAAACAGCGTCGAGGAATAATACAGCCGACTATTTTAAGTGGCATTGATTGATTATTAAGATTATTTGTGGGTGTCGTTTTGATTCGTATCATTTGTATCTTTCCTTCTGGTAATATGCGTTCCATTTGTGACCAAAGAGCAAGTACACTACCAGAAAGAACGAGAAATCGACGTGTACGTGAACCAACTTCACACATTTGTTCGCCATTCGTCGCTGAAATTGGACAATGCCCTTGCCTATAACCGAACACATATTGAAATATTTCGATAGTCAAATTTAGATTTGTATTCATAGTTACCGAATGACATGAATACATGATGATGCAGCTCTATAATACAATTCTTCCCAATACATTTGTGCTTGTAATGGTGTGATCTAAAAGATCGATTGTCGAAGTATTCAAAATCTTTTCAAATCATATACTTTTTCATATTTTTTTCGTAAACTTTCTAATGTTTCATGTCGTTGTTGCAATCCAGTATTCGGCCGATAGATACGAAATAAAACTTCACTTTTTCTCATATTTCCAACGGTCATATTCGATGTGGTTGACAATGCAAGTATAGGTAAACGACAATGTGAACGATCGTCATTTGCCATGTAAAAGCCATCGTCATTGTTAAACGACTGTTCTTTCAATTGAACAGCTTTACTAAATGCTAGACCACGTTCGACTACGATCTTAAGAGAAAAGGAACGTTTACAGGTTTTTATTTTAATGCAGAATTCTTTCGCGAAGAAATTACTCGGTGTAATTCGACTTGAAGTGGAATGGTATTAACTTGTACTGTATTTAAAACATATACTCGAGTTTGTTCGACAGAAACTGTTTCTTCACCTGTGCCAAGATCTGCAAGTACATAGTTTAGTTTGTTTGATGTTAACAAATGAAATATTTACCTAGAATTCCTAAATCCCAGGAACCACTTCGTCGTGCGTCGACAACAACAGCATTGAGTGCATCGGAGAAAAATCGAAATAACAAATTCTGCATTTGCACACGAATTCCCAGTATGCGATTAAGAAATCGGCTCATATTGTTATAGTCTAATTCAGATCAAATTTGTAGTTGAAAAAAAGAAGAGAGTAGATGAACAAAATCCTACCTTTTTCTGCAACGTAAAGAACTTGTTGACCGCTTGTCATACGTGATATCAGACCGACATTTATCAAAGCCTTTCGTGCTTCGGTTACAAAATCTAGTTTTGTTTCGTTAGCAATTAGTTTTGGAAACGGTGCCCATGGACGTTCTAAATTACAGATGGATCGAATCACATTTTCAAGTGCTTGTCGGCCGTATTTGTTATCGATATTAAATCGACTTAGATCACGTGTTTCAGTTGCGCGTCGATCACCATGTGTCAATGCGCCCAAACATTCTAACCGCTTTGCTACCCTAAATAAAAACAACAAAACAGAATATGAACAGAATTGCGTTCGGGAAGGGAAATCATACGTTGATGCAAAACGCTTTTCTCCTGCAAGTTCGGATATAACAAAAACGTATTCAGGTGCTGAAACTTGATTAGATCGGTGCGTTCGTCCTAGAAATCGAATGATTAACAATTAAAAGTAGTTGAAAAAGATGCTTAACGCACCAAACTGCTGAACCGCTCGATCGGCTGACCATGGTAATTCAAGTGTTACATGAACACGACGACGAGTATTTTGACATCGTCGATCCGCTTGTAAAGAAATACCGCTACTAGCTGCTTCCGATATGATCGCAACAAGTTTTTCACCACGCATAAATCGTTCACGTTCAGATATGTTCAAAATTTCTAGTGGAACATCAGCTTCTGATCGTGACTCGTAACCGATCTGTCCGTCGGCATGTTGAACAACACGACCTTTCCGACCGGTCATCTACATAGATTTGATATACAGATCGATTCCAAGGAAATGTTTGTCAAACCTCAGCCACTTGAGATGGTCCACCAAGTTGATCAATCAACTCATCTAAGGTATTCGGCGGTAAGCTTCTTCCAAGTGCTTCTATACTATTTAATAAATCTACTTTCATATTGAATAATGCATCAATGATTTCATTGTTAGTCATTCGACGTTTATCATCTATTAAAGAAAAATAAACAAAATTTCACAGTTGAAACTGAATTTGTGAAATCATTTTCTTACAGTTATGTACACTAGTTGCAGTTTCTTTCTTTTGAATCCGTTTCACTGGCAATCCACCATCGACATCGGTCTGTCCAAGAATTTCCGCAAATGTATGTTGTTGTGGCGGATAATCATCTTCAATCAATAGACTTTCGCAGCTATTTTCATTATCGCTATTGTGAATTTCGTCCAATTGATTATTATTATTTTGATCGCGATGTTTGCCTGTTGCGCGGCGTTTATTCGTTTGAACAAATGATGAATAACATTCAACGTCGGAATCATCTGAACTCTCATTCGAATCACATGAGATCGATCGTTTCGTAGTACGACGATGTGTTGATTTGCGTTTTTTGCTCAAACGATCTTTTTCTTCGTCAGGTTTAGGAATAAAATCGAAGATTGACACAGGTTTCGGTTGTTCAATACCAGTTGGAAAATGTTTTTCCACGAAACTTTGAATAACACCTCTAGACGACAAGAAAACAATCCATTTCAAAAAAAGCAATGATCATCATCTTTTCCCATTACTTTGCTGTCGATACGAAATCGTTTAATTCGCCTAGTTCTTCCAATTGCTCCAATGTTTTCGCTTCTCCAGTTGATTGTAAACCAATAACAACACACTACAAAGCCATAGGAATTACACAGATGATTTTGTTCAAATATTTACTTTGCCGTCTCGAATCGCTTGGTGAGATAATTCCACTACTTTCGATACTTTACAAGCAATACATAGATATTTGAAATAACGTTGATGACTTAACCAATAACGTGCTATCACGTGATTCCGAGTTATATTCGATGTATCAGCTAGATCAAATGCTTGTAAAAGTTTCTCTTTGATTTCGATCCACTGAAAAAGTCAAGGCAATAATCATCAACATATAACACAAGTAAACAATTACTAGTTGAACGGATCGATCATATGTTTGTAGATATTCGTTGGATAATGGAACATCCAGAATAGAAAAATGTACACCAGAAAAACTTAATTGTCGTGCAATATACATGCCACGAAGTTTCATATCCATTGCCACAAGTTCCATAGCACCAACACCGCGTTGTTCAATAGCTTGAATAAAATGATTGAAATCAGCAAATGATGTACCTGCACCCCATAGACCAAGTCTTGTCATATAGGCCATATTTCGTGGTTCCGATGCACCTGTGGCTGATGCATAGATGATACGCGCATTCGGTAAACGAGCTTGTAGATCCAGAACAGCTAGACCGGTTTTAGACGATTTCGCTGTGGGACTTGGCGCAAGATTTTTCGCTTTGTGACATTCATCAAAGACAATCTACAACCAGAGATTGATTAACTAATAATTGTATGCGACAGGGATCAAGTTAATACTCACCACACCATCGAATTCATCGCCGCCGAGCCATTGAATTAATTGTTTTAGACGACTATTATATTTAACTTTAGTGGAAGCATTTTGACTTTCACTTATCAGGGAAGAATAAGTCGCAAAAATGACACCACGCTTTATTCCACCATTTTGTGGAGAAGAGATTTTAGCATATTTTAACTAGATGAAATCACAAGCATAAAAGATTCCTTGCGATCTTTTATATCGTTTCGTACTTTATTCAGTGCATGAACTTCGATAAACTGAGCACCAATATCATATAAGTCACGTTGTGCATCATACTTAAGGTCATTGGAAACACTCAACCTAAACAGAGACGAGAAAAGTTCATAGTTTTTCAAAAATCGCTTCCAGTTAAATATAATTATTACCAGAGAGATTTCCGTCGTCCAAGTAGATAATTTTCATAAATTAAACCAGCAATGGTTCGACCTTTACCAACACCAGCTCCATCACCTAGAGTACCTAACACATATAAAAGGCTTTTCCATCTGAAATAGTCTATTACCGATAAGGAATCCAGCTCTTGTACTGTCAGGGAGAAATGTCATATGTCGTTGGGAAGCGTATACGATTGTTTCTAATTGCAATGCTGATAATGTATTTGCTTGAATTTTCTCATTTGGAATCGCTAATTGGTAAGTAATATCAGGTAATTCGACTGAAGAAAGTGACGAAGTTTCAACAACAGGATCGGGATGTCGATCACCCAATCGAACTATAATACAAATAAAAATATAGCATCAGTATTGAATGAAATATTCTCATACGTTTAAGTGGCATATAGTCAGAATATGTATCGGCTGCTTGTGCACTTTGTTCTTCTTCCTCATCTTCTTCAGTTTGAAGATCAGCTGGAATTTTCGGTGCAAATTCCTAAGTAAACAAACAGATAAACGGTATCAACATTGATGTAAAAATGATATACTGGTGGCGCTGAAAGTGTCGGTCTTAATGCTGGAATAAATTGACGCACAATCGTTGAATTTACTATAGGTGCTGCTAATGGTTTCTGTGACAATTGAGGCACAGTCGTCGGTAGTGTATATAAACCCGATGGGATCGTAATCGGACGTTGTAAACGAATAATCGGTGGACTTTGTACTGGAGCATGAAGTCCATGTAATATAATAGGTCGAGATATCGTGATTGACGATGATGATGGTGGAATCTTTGTTAAATTAGGAAATGATTGTGGTTTAGGTGTTGAAGATATTGTAACTGGAGGTTGAAATTGTTCAGAACGTTGCTAAAATGATTGATTCGATGGAATGGGGAAAACGAAATAACAACAAATGCTTACACGTGCGATTTCATCTGCTTGCCGATTCGTCTCGGATAGTTCTTTGACTGCCATTGAAAAAAGATCATCTTCATCATCATCATCATTATCATAATTGTCATTTATTTCTTCGTTTAATGTACTCTCAACTGTTGGTAAATCCATTTGTTTATGTTTTATTGTCTAGAGAAAAAAATTCACTCGTTCTAACTGATTTTTTGCCTTGATGTAATGCTTGACGCCAAGTTTCATTCTACAGATCGATTAAAACATTCTTTATTGATAATCAACGTCTCGGAGGAGTGTACTATCTGAAGAGAGTTAATGACGTTTTCATTCATTCATTTTACATGTGACTGTTCTCCTTCTTCTTCTCGTCTTGTCGTGTCGGTATTTATACTTTTTTCAAGAACCAATGATCAGTATTGGTCGGCCATCTATCTCGTAAAATCATTGGTTGGATTAATCACTCAAACTAGATTTGGTTACGTACCATAGTTTCGTTTCAAACTGATGAAACAAATGTTCTTTGCCTACGCACGCGTTTCGTTCTTTCTGAGTATTTTATCGAGAAAAATATTGAATCATTGCAAGAAGATCTATTCGTTTATTGAATAAACAGAATTTGAGATGAATGAAGTCGCACAAGCACTCTAAATATTGATATTGTGTATTCTAAGAAGGGATCTTGATTTAAAAGGACCTAATTCCATTTCAGGAAAAGATCGCTTGAAAACGACCATAGTGTGGATGACGTCATCTGAGAAATTCTCACTATTTGATAGTGACGTCATGTGAAAGAAAGAGATGGATGGTTGTTTATCAATATTTTCCAGCAGTCTTTTATCGAATTAATGAAACTTTTCTATCGGTAAGACTTTTCTTGAAAAAGATATGTTCGTGAGAGTATTATCACGATAAATGATATGAAGAAAAGGGATGTAGATAATATATTTCATAGTCAAGCAGATAAATAAATAAAGAGATAGGAGTTGAAAGTATACATGACTTCCGAGAAAGGAAAATGTTGAAAACACTATGTATTTTGATTAAATATCATCAGCCTGATGACATCTGTTCTTCTAAACGATTGGTTAAAGTTTGCACTCGAATAGAACTTCTACCTCGTGGATTTGAAATGAAAATGAACAACACATTGTTTTAGATATTTCAACGAATTTCTCGATTCAAACATCTCGGAAAATGGCTGCATCAATTGAGAACGCAACCATATCGCCATTGTTCGACACGATCGATATTCTCAATCGAACAAATGGAAACAATATAACACAAGAAGAAGTTTTCGTTACTACTACTTAAGGAATGCTTCTATCCTATTCATTCCTTCTACTTTCAACACTTCTATGTGTTTATTTTGATTCCTACTGATCAGTAAATCGGAAAGATGAACAAGTCAGATCTGGCGAAGAATTTGATGTGCTTACTGCAAAATATGGTAAACCCACTCGCACTTTCGATGTATATCAATGTTAATCTCATGTTGATCTAGCGGCGATGTTTCTATTCATTGCTAATGCATTCCTATTCGGCATTTATCTCGTTATCTTACTTGTTTCCATGGAATACATTACATTTGTTCTGAATATTTACTTTTTTCTCATTGGTATCATTGCACTTTACCGAGTAGTGCATCCGGTGATTACACGAATTCAGTTACCAGCACTGAATAGACTTTGTGAACGATAATTTCATGTTACTTTATCGAAAAACAAACCATCGACAACGAACTCCGACACGAATGATCTGATGCATTTAGATTTCGAGTTCGATCTTATGGATATTGAAGCTCTATTTCTTTGTGTAGTAGTTGGTGTTTGGTACTTACTTAAACGACATTGGATTGCAAACAACATCGCTTTGGCATCGCCTTTTCAATAAGTATACGAACTTCCTTTATAGAATTTGAAATTACTCATGAATATTTGTATCTATCAGAGTTTTAAATGGAATTATTCTACTTGGTGACCTCTGCATTTATGATATCTTCGGATTTTTGGAACCGACGGTAACTAGTCTGCTCTGTTTGTGTAAAATCATATTCTCGGGGGATTTTAGTTATGATTACAGTAGCAAAATCGTTTGATGCTTCGATCAAATTAGCATTTCCACAAGATCTGATCGAAAATGATCCAATAGCCGCGAACAAATTTCCTATGCTTGAACTTGGTACATTTACCAATAATATCTTCACATTTTCTAATTGTACGTTTTTTTCTTTCAGGTGTCGTTGTTGTTCCCAGTGCATTTATAGCTTTATTACTTTGCTACGATATGTCTCATCAACGATCGAGGCTTTATTTTACCGTTTCATTTATCGTCTATATCATCGCTTTGATTGTGACAATTCTTATTCTTCAAATCTTTAAACATGCTCAGCCAGCACTACTCTATACTGTACCATTATGTTTAATCTTTCCATTATTGACTGCATGGATTCGTAAAGATTGGACAACGATATTCGCTTATGAAGATCATGCTAGTGATAAGAAGCGTGCATAGATCTCCCATCATCTCGTCGTAGCATTTCACCTGAACATATCAAATTTTTGTTTTAGACTGCAATAAATCCATCTCAGTCATTCTCGATTTTATACGATTACATCAAATAAATGTCTTTCTTATCCTTCTAGATTATGGGCACGATCCATAGTACTCCTAATTTCATCCGGTGTTTTCAATCCATATTAACATTTATTTTTGTCAGTATATGTTTATTTTTACTTTCAATTCTCACTTATTTTACTCTACGTAAACACTTAATGCCAATATCACGTCTTGACATTCCGATATCTCTTGGCTTTCCCAAAGATTTCGATCCGAACACAGACAAGATTTTCTCGCAATCAGCCGCTAATTTTCCACCTTACTTAGTCAGTCATATAAATCTAAGTGATGTCATGTCGATTCAATCACCACTTGATATATCTGTACACTCATATTCAATCGAATTAACTTGCCATTCACCACGTTCGTATCGCAATCGTCAACTCGGTTCATTTTTTGTTCAAATAAATCTGTATTCAACAACCGATCAACTTATCAATGAACATTCCCGTTTAATTTTATACCCATATCAGTCCGAACTCGCTCGAATTATCCGAACACTCATTTTCTTACCATTATCCATATTTCATATCGACTACGATCGATGGTATTTGCAACAAATTCTTATCGACCGTATACGAAATACTGATCAATCGAAGCGTTTTGTCGAAAGAATTCAATTGAATATACTTCCGTCTTCATTTCAACTTGATCGATGTTCAATACATTTTCATATACGTGATTTAACCGGTCTTGTTTATTCATTCATAAACTATCCAATTCTAACTGGTTGTTTTGCAACATTTGTTCTATTTTCTACCTATATGACATTCTATTTGATTATAACTGGTTTAACCTGGTTAAACCAATTGAGTAAAAGCGAATCTTGTAAGAAAAAACTTTCGTGATTATTTTTGTGTTTTTTTTTTAAGATTTATGTAAATATGACTGATTATAAGTGTAAAGGATGTCTAATCGACTCTTCCCATGGAAAATTACAAAAGAAAAAAGAAGCATTATTAGAATTTATTTTCACCAGTGATTCTTTGTGTTTAACTGTAAGTGCACAGAATGTCAACATCATGACGTACACGTTAAGTAAAGATACGATCTCAGCAGCGACGTTATATAATGAATTACTTGTGATAACATTCAAAGAAAAGAAACAAATAAAATTATCCGCTTTACCGGCAAGTAAATTACAAGAATTGAAATTTATGTTAGAAGCATTATTGAATGATGATCCGACAGGTAAAGAACGAAAGAGAGGATTACGATGGAGTTCAATTTGATTTTTTAGGTTATGAAGAACATGAGAAGAAGTTTTGTCAGGTGTCGACGAATTCAAACTATGCATCGCGTAATTCTATCACCAACACAAGTACTACGAGTATGAATTTATCGACAGATGCAAGTAGTAAGAAACAACCGAAATTGGACAAAATGAAACATGCTAATCAAGTTTTCGAAAATGATGAAAATTCACAACCATCTGTAGCAAATATTTCCAAGGCAGCTGAGAAGAAAAAAAATGCTTTGCATAGGTAAGTTGAACATTAGAATTATGAATTATTTATTCGTCGTTTGGATTGCGTATAGTGCTTCGAATTTCTATCCTCACTCTCAGCATCATTCTATCGATGAAAATTTCGATCACATCAATGATACTTCGCAACAATCGTAAGTTTCTTTTTCGTATAGTTTATGTCGCAAATGCTTTTTCTTAGTCGTAAGCGCACAAGTGCGAATCAATCAGGTAGTTCAGGCGTTCGTTTCGAACATGCAACATCACCCTACTTCTTCAATCGAACAGAGAATAAAATGAAACGACACTTATCGAATGGAGAATCTCGTATTAGTCCACTGAAAAACATTCATTCTAAACCATTGAATAACACACCTCTTTGGGATAATGATGATGAGAGTTATCTCTATGATTGGCGTGATTCACCATATACAACAAAACGATCGGATAGCCAGACGTCAGCTGACTTATCAATATCGAAAGCAATGACAACAACGATGAATTTACGAAAGAAAGGGTAAATGATCAATGTGATTACAAATACATTCGAAAGAAAAGAAGATTACTCTAGTTTGAAAAATATCGGTGCGACATGTTACATGAATTCCATTCTTCAATGTTTGCTGAATATCGATCCATTCCGTTATGATTTAATGGTGACAAATTCCGAACTGATCACATCACCCTTACTCGAAGACAATACAATCTATCTGTACGTATTTCTTTTCATTATATTAATCTATCACGCTGATACAGAAAAAAAAAACACAGATATATAAATATTGTCAATGTGTATTGATATTTCGCTTTTTTTTCATAGTTCTGTTCTACAAATTCTGTCTCTCTTACAAGATCGTCAATCAACACAATCACAAAATAATACAACAACTCAATTAACTGACGATGAACGAACAGTTGAATCACAAGCGTTGATTAATTTGAAAAAAGCAGTAGAAAAACATTCCGGCGTTTTTCTTGGTTCGCGTCAACAAGTAAGTAGACTTTTAAGATCGATACAGTGGACGAGGATGTTTCGATTTCGGTTGAATAGCCATATTTACACGTTGAAATGAATAATGTCGATCGCCTTTCCATCCTATCCATAGAATACCGGTATTGAATGGTACTAATCCATCGGAATGTGTTGCAAAGTGCCCATTGAGTTGTACATGTGCGCATTCGACACCGGAATGGTACCACCATCCACCTCCGCCATGTTTTTGAGGGCAATTTGTGTTCGTAGCGTAGTGATCATAGGTGGAAAATCGTGCATTATGGTGCCAGCGAGAGAAACCTATCACGAAAGAAAGAAAAGCTGAATGTATTTAATTATCTACTATTTACTAAAACAATTTCCTTTTATTTTTCTATACAGCCGAATGAGAAAAGGTTTGTCCTTACTATCGATTTTGTTTGAGCTTTCTATATCTCCATGATATTCAGCAATCTGTATTCGATAACCATCTTGTTGATTTGCAATTCGGAAGATTTCATAGATCGCTGTTCGAGTCTCATTATACCAATCGGTTAGTTCAATTCTCAATCGACACGAGTACGTTGTAGATAACCAATGAAGATTCTCGTTGCCAATCCAAAAATCAGTTCGATTACGAGTATTTCCAAAACCTCGTCGATATTCAATCCATGTTCGATTAAAATCGATCGAATTGGTTTCACGATTCTGTATAGTCAACCATTGAGGATATTCATCATTTGGACAAAAAATATTCTCGATCAGTTCGGTTAATCCAACACGTATTTGTAAGCAGCGTGTCGTGCGATTGCGTCTCGGATGTGGAGGAAGTTGATGGGAGCAATCCACATTGTTTTCTGAATGTGAACTAAGTTAAAAAAAAAGAACATTCCTTAGTGAGGAATTTCAAGTTCGTTTGCTTCTAAAGAGTTGTCATTGAATATCAGTAGAGCGAGAAAAGAACCTGTTTATATCACATGGTGCTTTTCTTCAGTGAGAAAATGATTCGCGAGTCATCTACTGAACGATAGAGGCGAGTTCCTTCAATTTGCTGATGTATTCCTATGTCCTAGAAAATAACTTGTGCGTAGTTTTCGTCGAGAACTTACTGATTGTAATTAAGTAGATGACGATGAAGTTCTTGATGAAGAGTTAAATTATCATTCAGACGAAACTGAAGAAGCATTTTCTCTTGTTTATCAGTAAATCGTTCAAGTCTTATATAAACAATAGTAAGAATAATAGCATAAAAAAGAACATGGATTAAAAGAAAACAGCACCGTTCAATGGTTAGATTTGACGGCATTCGCGTTAGTTTTTGTACATTTAACAAGGGAATTGTCGTATGATTCGGTTTGCTCGTAATTGATGCTGTCGCTGTCGTTGTTGTTGGTAACATTTCCGAACGATTTGGAATAATTTGAAAATCACAATTGGATTTCGGCAAATCCAGATCTGCTCGTTTAACTTGCCGCTCTTTGAACATGATTCATGTGTATAAAGTACTTGTTTCTTCTAAATATGAATATGAACATGTTCACTCTCTATTGTCGTTTTTCTTTTCTTATTGAATGTCGAAAGTATACTGGTAAAAAGAAAGAAAGAAAGAAAGAAGAAAACGAGAAAAGCGGGAAGGAAGAACGACCGAGGGAACACGCAATTAGATAACCTCAGGCATTCATGTTGCCGTTGAGAAAATGCATAACATCAGTTGATCATTTGTTTTGTTTTGTTTTGTTATTGCATATTTTTCTAGCAGTAAATCAAAACAGAGAGAGAGAGAAGCCGATTTTGATTAGCTGTTCGATGATCAATCGAAGAAGAACTTCATGGATATTATTCGATTTCTTCTTCTTCTTCTTTTCTAGGATTCGCATGAATTTCTCAATCTTGTTATCTCACTCATCACTGATGAAATCGATGCAATTAAAAGTCAAATGAAAGACCAATCTGTAGTCTTCGTCGAGAAAATCGTTGATCCAACAACAAATAACTTCCAATTTTGTCTCGCGACCGAGCGTTGCTGTGAAATGTATGTAGGAAAAGAATAAAGGAGAGAAGAAAATGGATATCATTCTACTTTGCTTAAAAGCAATCTTCTTTACAAGTTAGAAGAACAAAAAAAAAAAAGAACTTGATATTTTCTTTTCAAGAGTTGTTTAAATGACTGTTTGCTAAGTTTTATCAAACGAAGCGAGCAAACCTAGGAGTTGCTTTGTTCTTCCATAAACAAGGCAAAGTTTTCTTTTGCCGAAAAAAAAGGAAACGATCTACCTAACAATCACAATATTCCTCAAGGTTATTGAAAGGTTAGAATGTTTCCTTTTTCTCTTTTGATTTAGTTGCGGTATGTCAACAATCAAGACTGAAATTCATACTGCATTACTTATTCATGTGACTGACGAAGTATCGAAAACAACGAAGACGAACTCATTGACTGATTTACTAACAAACTACTTTGCATCTGAGTCAATGGACGGTTGCTATTGCGATCAGTGTCAATCAAACCAAAGGAAATCGATTAAATACAGTCTAGAGAGATTACCTCGGTAAGGCGAAAAAGAAAAGGATCTGTTAATCGAGATTCCTTGTAGAATTTTTATTTTTTATTTGAAACGATGGCATATTACCAAGAATTCGTATGGCGAACTTCAATCAGTTTCGAAAGAAGATCACCCAATAGATTGTTCACTTGAAATTGATGTGTATCCATTTTGTTCAGCGAAAACTTCTCAACCACCGATGTTGAATTACATAGAAGAACTGCCTAATTTGAAAGATCTGTTCAAACAACGTGATGAGATTCTCAATACTGTCGAAGCAAAACGTGCACGACTAGAAGACATCGATTCAGAAAAGACGGTATGCATAATTGAGAACATACTGAGAATCCTTGGAGATTTCTCGACGATCTTTTTTTTTTAGAATATAGACGAAATGGAAAATCAAATTGCAACCCATGCTGACTATCGTCTTTTTGCGGTTATTAATCATCACGGTGGTTCAAGTGATGTTGGTAAGAAACGTCATTTGCCATTGTGATTTTCATGACAGAAAAAAACTGTTCTTCTAGGGCATTATACATCGACAGTTTATGATGCAAAAGGAGATACATGGTGGACATATGACGATACATCAGTTACATCATGTACACAGCAACGTGTTCTGAAAGATTTAGCTCCTGATGCCTATGGTGTTATGTATATGCATAAGTCTGTGGTGCCATACGTTTGATCGATAGTTTTCACTTTCTTCGCATTGATTTTTTTAGAGATATATTGAAATTATTTCAACCTATGGCTTCCAAGTAAACAATGTTCTTTGCATTTGCTAGTCATCGTCTCCTTCTCGGTGAATTAGTACCGACCGTGTTCTTTATATACGTACAGCTATAGTTTTTTTGTTATTTTTCTATATATGGACTCAGACTGATAATGTGTTACTAGTTGATTTATTCTTTCTCCTTTTTTCAAGATCAAATAAAAAATGAAGTGTTTTTTTAAAAATAGAAATTCATTTTCTAGCTTATCAACCAAAGCGAATGTGAATGAGTCATTAACGATCAGAGATGGATCATTAAACATGAGTATAATTAAAAGTTAATGAAAATGGCCGGTCCATAGAGATTTGTTAGTAACTCTTCAATGATATTGCATGATAAAATATACACTAAAGTCTTAATGACTGAGTTATGTTACATAAAAAGATTCTTTCAAACACAGATCGACTGGATTTGTTTGACTATGTTCAATGACGTGCAATCTGCAGTTTATGTCGTGATTAGTTTGGTTGTATGTTGAGTTCATAATTATATCATAGAACGTTATTGCTTGTTGTCATATCAAGGGATTATCATGCATTGAAAGCAAAGTAAGACAGCGTAGTTTTAGCACATTTTACTCAGTGGATTTCTACGACAACTAGGTGAAAAGTCAACAAAAGCACTCCAGCTGACACAACTGTGATGTGATTTGTACTTTCCTCGAGTGGAATAGTACAGTTCAATTTGAGGAGATTCACGCTGTCAACTGATAGTCTGTCTCATATCTTTATCATTTATTTGTTTGTTTATCTTTACAATATTAACCATATGCCATCTGTCTTACTCGATGATCTCTCTCTTTCTCTTCTCGTTCATAAACTATCATTTTTATTTAAGTATATCATACAAGGAAACGACTGTTAACACAAAAGAAAATACTTTGATCTTTTCAAACGCGTGTGCTTTTGTTTTACACATCCGAACCGCTATTCAACTTGCGATAAAATAATTCATCGAGTATTTCTGCTACAATCAATGGAGTAGAATTGAGCCCGACAATCCATAAAGCAAACAAATTATCAATGGGAAAATACCGCAGAAAATATCGAAATTGTTGTTCTCTCGAAGCACGATTTTTAACGATTAATTCTAAATGTTGGACAATAAACACGTTGCGTGAGTGTCGAACAAATATTTGATAAAAAGAACGTATTGTGTCGACAATTGTTATGAAGAGTAAAATCCAAAACCATAACCATAGAAGAAAATACATTTTCTCGATAAAGATGTTAATCACAAGAATGCATTCGACTGTATAATGATGTTGTTCGCCTAATTCACGTATTTGGAAATCACATAATGTTATTCGCGGGAAGAGTTTACTTTCCGGCAAGGTAAACCCGGAAAGTAAACTACCTAACACGTTAACACCATACTGAATATAATTCATCTCGTAATAACTGAGGAAATATTGAAGGAATAAGATTTGTAGAGCCAAATTAAGTATGTAAAGAAATTTAATAAGAAAATAAAAGCAAACAAGTGAAGCGCCGGTTCGACCTTGACAAAATAAACGACATTGACGATGCGTACGATGAATAAACGACGATTTATCTCGCTTTGGGGGGTTGACATATTCTTCATATCGTTGTAAACAATCGGCAATATATTGGACAACTACAAGAACAACAGATGATACCGAACAGAATCGATTTCGATACTTTACTTGTTTGCCGATCGGTTTTAACATCGAACGAATCGTATTTATTTGCAGCATCGACAAAGTTTCCCAACGGCAGGCCAATCTTATCATTGAATGACTGCCAAAAAATACGTGGTAAACTGAAAAATAATGCTTGTAAAAGTAGAACAAAATTAATCCATTGATAGTATTTTAATGTTCTTTCACGTCGTAGATTGTAATCTTTTGGAACCATTTGATTCTTCGGCACATGATACGTGTTCTGAATGTAACATAAACGATTGGTATACGCTTCATAAGTTCCAGTGAATTGGGCAGGCACCCAACAGTGCAATGGATCACCTATTTACGAAAAGAAAAAGACATCGATGACAGTTCTTGATTCGTTCATCTTACCAGCATATTGATAAGTTGAGATAGCGATGCAAAAACAAACTAAGATTGCGACTGTATAACGATTATGGAGACGATCAATCAATCGATCATCATAAATGTTATCATTACGTTTTCTTCCAGCAAATTTTTGAGCGCTGTCGATGACTGAATTGAAATCCATTGATTTGAATAAATATTATTCTTCGTGTTCATACAGATATGCGTTCGTCTACAATAGAGCGTTGTACATCGCACTTCATCAAAAGAAATGCGTACATATAAAAAAAAAGGTTAACAGATATGCCCAGTATGTCGCCATCATCTCTTGATGATGCAATCAGTATGGTAACGAGATAAGATATTCCAACACATCTGTTTATGTTATTTTCAAACGAAGATCATTAGATTGTATTTATAGAGTTAGTTATCAAATGAGTTTTGGAACTTCTGCTACCAGCGAGTGATTTGTAAAAGGTTAAAAGAAAACAAATTTATGTACTTACAGGTAGTAGTCATAACCGCAATCACGAACATCAATCGTTTTTTATGTATGTGTGTGTGTGTGAAAAAAATGAATCGAGAGAAAAAGAGAAAAAAATTATTGATGAAAGGTACAGAATAGGTCGAAATAAAAGAGAGGAAGAGAGGTGATCCAATGCTTGTAGTTTACAATTGAAACGAACAGAAGTAAAACAAAATGGTTATACACTTGCAAGTATACTAAGGAAACGAAAAAAAAACATATGAATATAAGAGAAGACGAAGAAAAAAGAACGCAAAAGAACGGCTCCTAATAGAAAGTGAGCCTTATGTTAGACTAACATCGTATATTGGGCGCATGAATGAAGGCTTTTTATTTCGTGTATTCAAACATTGATGCTGCCAGAAATAATTAAACAGAAATAAGAAGAAAAAAAAACGCCGCTACACATGTTGTATCTGATAATTATCATTGAAATAGGCGAAAAAAAATGATGATTTAGTTTTTGAATCCTAGTAATATTCCCTTCTTTGTCGAAAGAATCCGAATCGGGACGTCTATTCATAGTTCTTCAAGGTATATTTGAAGTGTGCTGTGTACACAACATGCGTAAAGAAAATTTCAAAGAATTCTATCGATTAGTACAATCATTCTTGCTACGCACTTGCCCGTCGTGTTCCCTCATACATATTCTCTGTATACATTGACTTATACGAAAAGAGTTCAATTCAGCTGTACACAAGTGCACTCTATAACCAACGTCTGTTCACTGTACTCACTGAATCATGCCACGTTGCTTCTGAACAGTGAAATATTATTGCATAATTCATCAGATGTAGTATTTATCCAAGAATTCTTAATCGAAAGTAAGAGGATTATATCTTTCCGATAGAGTTTTGTTCGGTTAATGAAGATCTAGTATTTAATGCTCATACAAGACAACGGATGACACTAAAGGTTAAGTCAAGGATCATATTAATTAACGAGAAAAGGATAGGCATAGCAAATATTGTCTCCTTCTGCTTTCAACGAAGTTCGAGAGTGATAGATCGAAACTTGTTTAGTAATAGACGATAATAAATACTCGATAACCTCTGAAGTACACGCATCACAAGCTTTTAACTCTACAAACATGTCCAACTGCCTCAAGAAGAAATCTCGTATCATATGATTCGATCGGCTGATAAATATCATTGTAAAAACATTCTTTTCTCTATGAGACATCTCACGGGATTAATCTATGTCATTTGAATTCAAATAGTTTCTAACAAACATACAGAAATAACATTAATCTTCACTATTATCGCGGATTATTTCAAATTCAGCCAACGATTAGACTTAATCTTGTATTCTGCTAATAAATTACTTTTTTATTGAACGCCATTATCACATTTTATCTATGCTAGTCATCATGATCCGTATCTGCCATTGAATTCTAAAGAAACATCTGGCCTTCAGACAACTCTACTTGATTTGTTTTAATAATTAACACGTCATATAACGTGTGAAATGTTTGATGAATATTTATATTGGATTTTCTTACTCATAAATTTATCAAAAGTCATGCATTATATTAGCAACGTTTTTCCATGTCGCACATTGCCGTTGGTCTTTACATACGATGTCGGTAAAGTATCATGATTCGTTACTCTCTATTGAAATCTCGTCTGTCTTAATGTTTTCCGATGTGCAAAAGAGGATCTTGAAGAGCAAGCTAATTGATGCGTTAATACGACACGCATGGAGTATAATTTGTGCAAAATTATGAATTTCATCCGAGAGTATTTGTCAGTCATTGTGTTTTGTAATCAGAAATCTATTCGGAAAATCTTTTGATAATTATACGCGCTTATTAATAATTCATTTCCTCGATTCAGTAACATTTTTCGTCCTCGAACACAATCGGAAATGAAGAAAAGCGTGAAAATTTCCAGTACTAACAATCTCTCCTACAGTGCACTTGAACAAAAGCTACACGACATATTGTCCTTTTAAATAGAAATATATTTTTGAAAAAAGAAAAGCCAATACGATAACTACTGTTCTTAATATCCCATATTTTGCTGTAAAATCATCATAAAATAAAGCATAATGTGAAGAGCGAGAAAGAGAAGTGACAAATCAAGCGAGATAATCATGAACGCAGGCACAATGATACATACATATAGAATTACGAAAGAAAAGAATGAATTCTTGTTGTCAATTGAATAACAAAAAAAAACAGAAGAAAATAGGACAGGTTCATGTCTAAACGAATATTCTACTAACTGTGTGCTGGTGTGTGTGCAAAGATGCATAGTAGGACATATATAAGGAGAGAAGAGAAAAGGAAGGAAACAATGGATTTTAGTTATTGAAGAACTACGATCATCCTGAGTTGATCTTAAATTGATTTATCTCTGTTCAATATTGAGTTCTCATCAAAAGTCAGCATTTGAAAGGATTAATTTCCTAGGAGAAAGAACTTTGCTCGTCATTTCTTTTCCTTTTCTTCTATGTGTATTTCATTAATCACAGATGCGCGACGCCAGAAACAAAACTGAGTAAAGAGAGAAAGAAGAGGTCTGAATAGAGAAGTTAACGAAAACAAACAATGAAAGTTTTTCACTCGTCATCTTTTTTTTCTCCTGGACATATCTTAAGATGTATACACAGAATCCAATGATTTAACTCTGCCATTTGATATATCCATAAGCCTGAAGACTTGATAGTGCAAGGTAGCCAATCCAAAGTAGAACAAAAAAGACGGAACATAGATATTTTGGTATTGCTGGTCCACCTAAAAGATACTCATCAGTTATTTTTCTTCGTGTTGCCGAAAATATTTGTTTTCTTACCAAGTTCTGCTTTGCCAAAAATGCTTAGATACCTTCGTAAAATAAGTACAAGCATACCAAGAACACAACAGACAGAGAAGACTAACACACTAAATGAGAGATCGCCGGCTTTAACTGTAAATGGTAAATTCTAAAAATGAAATCATTCAAATGAAATATCTCGTTCGTCTAGTCTCATTTTACTTTTGATTCCCAATAGATAGCGGCAACGAGCCATGGAAGTCCAAGACCGAGAAACACATTGACACTATTTGATCCAGTGACATTACCAATAGCATCATCAGCTGTTTTCGAATTTTTCGCTGCAATCATCGATGCAAACGTATCCGGTAAAGATGTACCAAGAGCAACAAAAGATATAGCTGTAATACTATCCTTTAATCCAACTAAACAGCCGAATATTGCAGCAACATCACCAACAACTGCTGTTAGGACAGCAATGAAGAAGAGCGAGACAAAGAATGTCAGCCAGCCACCAGCCATAGCTGTTGGAGGAACAAAAGCGAAGAGTACCTTGAAGATAATAGATTTTGATTTTGTACTGTCGTCATTCGTGATTTTCAAAACTTACCTTCCAAAAAAATGCTAGTGCATGACCAACATAGTGACCGAATTTAGCTGTTTCTAAATCACCGCCATTAACATTCATTGCATCTTGAAATTGCTGTCCCCAAGAGGTTTTTGTGACACTTAATTTGTCCATGTCAACTTGAACGAGTGATGCCATTCGATTGGCCATTGTCTTGTAATCTAATCCAAGAATATTTTTCTCTTCTCTTCATTCATCTAGAGATTTCCTTACCATCGTCGTTGATAATGGTGACGACAGTCCTTGTATGTTTTCCTAATTGTGCACCTCCCGTGGGGTCATAGATTTCCACAGCAAAGCTTTCATCTTTTTCCGCTTCAAGATCATTTATGATGGGTATAGCAATTATTTTTGATATTTCACCGTGTTCGAATATAACTTCGCTTTCAGCAGCTGAAAACAGAAAAGAAAACAATCAGTCAAGGTTCAACAACGCGAATATCTCAGCTTTTATCATCAATCACTTACGTTCGTAGTCTCGTGTGGCAATAGCATCGATGTCTTTTGTTCGATAATGTACGCTGACACGACCGTCAGCACCATTAACACGCACTAATTTGATTTCGGCTTTGCCTATACTTTCTTTGACTAATGTAATTGGTTCTTCAAACTCGATCACACCCGGTTCTATAAGAATAAAAACGAAATCAAATGTCGTCTTTGACGATGTTTTTCTTATTCTATGTCAAAGATTATTTACCATCGTCATTGATAATTGTTACAAGTGCAATCGTTTTCGAGCCTAATCTAGTTCGTGCTTCTTCGCCTTCTGGTAATGATATCTTAACGAAAAATGTTTCATCTGGTTCCCATTGATTATCGTCGATGACATGAATGGTAATGCGCTTTTCCTGTTGTCCACGTTCCATTTTAAATTCTTCGGATAATTTTACATAATCTTCACCAGCTGTTGCCGTACCGTCGATAGTATCCAGTCTAATGATCGAAAACGAACATAATTCAGTTCCGTACGGATCAAACGAGACCAATAGGAAAGCATTTTCCGTTTTCCAAATAGAAAGCGTGCAAGAATATAGCCGGAAAGCATGCAAATGTAAAGCAGGTAGCAGTAAAGCTCTTGGTAATGCCTCTTCTTTCCCTAACCGAATTCAATAGATTTGAGAATAAAAAATAGAATAACTAAAACAATCCGTGGAGTATGGCAATCTCGTTGTCAAAGGTAAATTAGAAAAAAAAATCGCACAACAAACACATACACCAATCATGGAACTATGGGAGGATAAAATAGGTACATGGAGAACGACTGAGACCTACCGGAAGTGAATCACAGAATTCATAAAGCCGTATCTTATGACTTCAATCGTGACACGCTGTTCACGTTCGAGTACGGCATAACTGGACGAAGCAAACTCAAGTACAGCCATTCGTGGATCATCATCGATTTCTATCTTCGACAGTGTACTCTTTCTCCCGCCGTGTGGATGATCTGCTGAAAAGCTGCCATCGAATGACTGTGGTTTGATAGCTCGTTCGTAAATCTAAACGAACCAGGGCAATGTTGTTCTTTTTAACTAGATGTTACACTCATATAAATAGATGTACATCTATGTATCAACGTGTGAAAGAAGAGAAATTTCAAGTAACAAATGCAAATAGTTAAGTGTTGATAAGAAAAAGTATGCTAGATTGATATAGTAGTTATTAGTATGCAATATCGCGTTATTAGATTAGCAAATGCATGCACGAATGACTAGACGATATGAGCGAGAAAATAAACACCTGAATCGAACGTCAAAATCAGTCGGGCCTCTTCGTTTGACTTTTAAAGTAACTCTTTGTTCATGTTCAAGAATCGCATATGATGTCGTCGAGAATTCAATTAGTGATCGAGGATCATCAGCATCAGTATCTTCTTCGTCGTCACCTAGTTTCGATGCCATGGACGCTCGATGTTCAGCGATGGAATCACGATTATGTACTTCCGAATAAATCTGTTTAGACAATTACAGAGATGTTGATCATGAAAAGAGAATGATCTCACAGATAGAGATGAAAGGATAGAAAAACAAAGTTCACATAAATCGACTTTTACTAACCTCTTGTAGTTTGTCGGGTAGATTGAGAAATAATGATTTACCACCAGTAAGCATACGAGCACCTTGAATACGATATTGCATACGTGATCGATGCATACTTTCGCTTAATTTAGCCGCAAATAACTGTGCTTTGTCTTCGAGAGACAAGTGTGTCGTTTGACCGAGATCCTAAGCAAGACAATATTCTATTTTGCAATCAATTCAAAACGTTGCACGTACACGTAGAAATTGAAGAAGTTCATCTTTACGAAAGTTACGTGGACTTCCATTCTCGTCATGTTCCGGTGGTGCTAGGAAAAGTAGAATAGACAATATTAGACATGTCACATAGATAATCAGTCTTTCAAAAATATTTACAGAAGAAAAGAACAAAATCTCAACTTACTTAATATAAGTGTTTGTTCCTCTTCGTCCATGTCAATTTTCTTCGAAGCAAAGAAGTTTTTCTCAGCCTAGAGAAAAACATTGGAATGATCGATTATCAATGCTTTGTTTTCATCGAAACGTTCATTTACCAGATATGCTAAAATGACAACCAACGGAAACAAGAGAAATGTTATGACAGCTTCCCAAAGATCAACAACATCTTTGGATATAACCGATAAGACAATAAACATCCATATATACGCAAAAAATCCGAAAAATGATGTGATCTAAGAAAATGTCGCATGCAAGCAGATATGAAATTCATTATCTGAATTATCTTACCATAAACACGCTGTACAACTTGATTCTCCTGGTTTCAGGAGCACTGATTGATGATATACACAATGCTGAGATCATTAGTAGATTGTATGCCGCTGAACCGACAACTAGAAACAGAAATCGAATCTTAATTAACATTATTGATCTTTCACTGTTCGATCTCGAGTTCTACTCCAAAAAACTAACACTGATAGTTTCCGAAGGAAATACACACATATACTCGGAATGTCAATGTGAAATATCATGACCTTTTCAATCTGTTAATCTAGTCAGAATAAAAATATACAAAAATCTTGCTTACTTGTTCCCGGACCGAGTTCTCCCGCTTCGAAACGATTGCCGATAATTTCAATGATTGATAGAAGAATTTCAGGTGAACTCGAACCCAATGCCATCAATGTTAAATTTGCTACCGTATCGTTCCATGTTCGAACTTCGACAGTTAGATATTTGTCTTTTTCACCCGGATCGGGATAGCGAATTTTGCGTCGTTTCGATGTTATGGTTTCAATTGACGACATGAAGATATCGGCAATGATAGCAATCCCAAGAAAAAGATAAAGCAAAAATATAAAATATAATGTGGCTCGTAGCTTAAGTGGCATGCATGCTTCGATACCTATTTTGAAAGGAAAGATTTGATTCAATGGAAGACAGAAAATAAAAGAAGCTCATTACCGAATGGTAAAATCAGACCACGAGCTGAACAGCGAAATCTTTCACAGCTGACACCAGTCGAATTTGTATGTTCGTCCAACATTTTTTTCTATGTAAATTCACTTATATGCTCTGTTCACATGCCAGTTATGTCGAAAGAATATACTAAAATGATATCAAGGTCGTCAGGTCGTGTTCTTTTTTCTTCATCTGTTTTTTATTTCTGTCAAAACCTGCGTTCTTCTCATTTGAAAGAAAGAACAACGAATAACAATATTAGTTTTACATTTTCTCTCGATTTGCTCTCTTCAAATCGGAGGTGATTAGTAAAAAAAAAACTATAATAGATTGGAAAGTTGACAGTCTTTTTTCTTTCTACGTTTAGAACAACTTTCATGTTTAAACTCTATTAGCCATTAACAACCTTTTGGAATTTTTTCTCCTTAGTCTCATATGTCTTGTTCTGCACAACATCGCTTTTTTTCTCTCTCTCAGAGAAATAATGAGAGGAAAATCCGAGTTGAAAATCGGGCAACCGCAAATAATGGATAATCATTCGAAGAGACAAACTGACAAGTAGAAAAACGATGCAGCATCGAGTTGCATTAGTATTAGATATTACACTTTACACCTTTACCTTCTTATCATGAATGGTTATAACTATTACAACATTCCTTTTTCTACTTTTTCTTATATATATGTGCGTGTTCTTTCTTCTGTTTTATTCATCTCTCTCTCTCTCCCCTCCTTCGTCACTCCGACAGCTTAATCGGGAAGCGAGATTCACCGGCCAACGCACAAGGCTCATTAAACAGAGTTTCTCTATGTGCACTAAAAAGATTAGAAAAATCTTGTAGTTACACTTTAATATTTCTATTTCTAAGTAAATTCAAGAAGAAGATTTCTCTTCTTTTTTACTTGTCATATTAAAAATTTATTAATAAAATTAACGTTCCGTACTAGAGAAATGAGATCTAATGAATTATACAAAAAAAATCAATCTACATAATTTACTATTTTCCCCGACGTTAGAAAATCTTCACGAAATATACCTACTGAACATAGTTAAATCGGGATATGTGAATACTTTCTCATCTGGTCTACTTTCTCATGACATACTCTAATATCTATTTAAAACTGATGTGAATTGCAGAATATGCATATTTACTTAACCCTAACGAATCGATGTATTCATTAGGAATTCATATATAGAAATCAGAGTAGAAAGGAATGATTGATTAAGAGTCTGACATTACTACTTACGAGGACACAATATGAAATACAAAGAAATAGTACCGACATGAAAGAAAAATATGAGAGCGAGTTTTGATGTTCAGATTAAAAAGTTAATCATAAATCTGCCAAAGCGCACAAGTACGAAAGATTCGTTGAATATCTACCACCATGCTACAGTGCACAAATGAGCACAATGGTGCTAGTCATCTATCGAACAACAGCATTGCTAAAGAGTGAGCGCGAGCGAGAAGTGAATAATCAAGCATGAATTATAGATGAAACGAGCATATATGCCAAAATAGCTTTTTCTCTTCTCCTTCTCGACAGCGTAGGCACTCTGACTATGCTGAGTAACACATGTGCTACGGATCTCTCTCGTTCCTCCTGCATTTCTTTCGACTATTTGCTCTCTCCATGCAAAGAAGATATGCAGTACCGCAAATCTACGACGAGAAGCCGAGAAGAAGAGAAGAGAGAAAAGAAAAGTGTACTCTCCTAGTTGTCATCATACAGCAGCGACAAAAGAAGAAGAAACAGTAGTAGTAATAGCAGCAGTCGTAATTTGCTATCGGTGTGTGTGTGTGAATGTGTGCATTAAACATTTCTCCTTAAATACTCAGTACGTACGATGTGTTAAGGCAAGGAGGAGGGAGGAGAACGTGAAAAAAAAAGAAAAGCGAATAAAAAACATCGATTCTTGAATTATGCGATCAAACTTTTAAGAAACAATTAGTCAACCGATATCGGTAGGCGACGTGAATAATCATCATTGGTATGCAAACACAAATGGTAGCTATCTGGTCGACATCGCCGCCAATGTCTTTCTCCTACGCTTCTGATCAAATCCGAATATATGTAGTTAGTCCAAACAATCGATGACATTTTAGTGACGACATTCTCCATGAAATAAAATATGCAAAAGAAGTAAAAGAAAAACTTTTATTTATAAATCGATTATTCGTCAGCTGAAACTTGCATTCATTGGAAATATAAAAAAAAGAAAGAAGACAGACATTCTGTTCTTTTCTTTCTACTTTGCTTCTTTGTTCGAGCCTTTAACATCTATCTGATCGTATAACTATTGAAAAGATGCATATCACAAACGTTGAAAAGCGTTTCTTCTCCTATCACGTATTTACATTGTGAAAGTAGTTGATTTTGATATTATAAAGAAGATCTATTTCAAGGTAGACGACTTTAGCCTACATGTTTGTAGTAGGAGAGAACGAGCGCTCATAAAAGGAGAAGAAAAAAAAAAGAATATAAACGAATAAAATTTCTTCTTTTCCTCTTCGTCGCGATCTATTTGTATCAGATGAAATAAAATAACAGATTGATGCTAGTAATCCACAATAGGAAAGAATTTACTAACTAAACATAGAGTAGAGACATGTTATCTTGAAATGATCTCTATCGGAATGACGTTCACATTGTTTAACATACATGTTTTCTCTTTCTTGACACGAATGTTTTCATCGAGTGAGATTAAAGATTCACGTCAATCTTTTTCTCTTTCAAATTAAAAGAAATTACAGGACGCAAAGTATGATTGTTGATGTATATGCTTGTGACGACGGTTACCTTTCTAATAAATTTCTCAATTCTTGCTCGTTGGAATCGAATACGATGAAATGCCATTCAAACATTTAAATTGATCTATAACACTTCGATAGTTAGCAGCGATCCATTACTAATTGCTTCCAGTTATTTTTGATCACACGAGAAGTTAATAAAACGAAAAAGAAATCCGATTTAATCAATTTGATGAAGCAGAAAAAGGATCTTTCAGTCTTGTGCTCGCTAAGAGGAGGTAAATATATATGCCGATAATTGAATCCGAAAGAATATAGGAACGATTTCATACGTATAATGATGTCTCATTCAATCAACATTTCTTCTAAAGCACGATTTCCGCTCCTATGATCCGATCAAACGATGCAGATCAGTTTGATTTTGTCCTCAATAGTCTATAAATGGAACGTTCTTGAATTCATACAAAGATTCTTTTTTCTCTAACCTTTGAATGAAACAGACTGAAATCAATTCTTCTAAAGAAAAAAAAAGATTTCTTCAATCTGTATTTTCATTTAAGTTTCTACCTAATGTCTCTGCATTTCCCTTTCACTGCAAGACAGTTTCATATCGATGACAAGATTGTCAATAAAAACATTTATTTACTGACAAGACAAATGTACTTATCTAGTGACAATCGTCAAGTAGAAATATTTCAGCCTATAATTACATTCCAGGGATACTAGTCAATCAACACAAAGGATTATCTCCGAATGAAAACTAATCTTCATCGATTGAATGAAAAAAAAAACAACAACAATAGAAGAAATGTTTATACAGAACAAAAAATTCTTCTCGTTATTCGATATCGTTCGAGCATTTGAAAAAGAAGACCGTTTCGTCAATATTATATTATGAATCTTACTCATACGAATGATCATTTAGTTATATATTCAAATTCACCGATTATTTCCTCAGTAACCGAACTCTCTTTTCTTGAATACAAATGACAGAACACACTTATCACAGTCAATATTTGCAGCTCGTCCGTGGATTTCAAACGAATTAATGTCATTGAGATTATTCATCACACTGATAACGAAGAAAAACACATGAGAAATTGAATCAAATACGAATACAGAAAAACTCATTTGTCTGACAGTTGTAATCAATCATGAAAGAAATTGTGTTAGTTATAGCGATTGTGTTTCTTATTCTTACATGTTGCAACGGATTTCTTTTCGATAAAAAAGGACTTTTCTTTGTTCCGTCCGTTGCATTTCGTAATCGTTCGTCTACATCAAATTGGATTTTATATAATCAAGGATGGTACTACGAAGAAAACCCGATTCAAGCTTTACTCGTGGAGAAAACTTTCGAACTGATTGTTCAGAAAGATTTAGACCGAAGTCGAATTAAAATGTTCACAGCCGAAGGAAGAAAACAAAAAACAGTTTGCATCGATGGTTTAGATCGCGAGATGTGCACGATGACAGATGATAATGGTCTGGTAAAGAATAAATTTACAGTAACCAACGATGAAATTCAACAGTTTCGTCAACCGGGTGGCAGTGCGGGTAAAGTTCTCTTTCAAATCTCCGTTCCGAATAAAAATCTTCGTGCTACCAGTGAGGTCTATCTTTGCGATGATCATGGTGTTACGTTTATTAGTGATATCGATGATACGATCAAAATAACTGAAGTAACTTCATCTATTCAAACATTAGTGAATACTTTTAGTGGAGAATTCCACGCAGTTCCGGGTATGGCAGATATGTATCGTTCTTGGGAAAAGAAATACAATGCGACATTTGCGTATTTAACGGCGTCACCTGACCAACTCTATCCGTTCCTACGAGAATTCTTCGAACGCGAAGGCTTTCCATCGGGATCAGCGCATATGCGTCATTTTACATGGTTAGATGCGAATTTTATTTCGTTTTTCATGTCATCGAACTATATGAAGAGAAAAACGGAAATCTTGCATATGTTTCTAGAAAATACTCGCCATCGTCTATTCGTTTTGATTGGAGATATATTTCAAAAAGATCCAGATATCTACGCTAGTATATATGCACAATATCCAAATCGCATCGCGAAAATTTTCATTCGAAAATATCGAGATGATCTTGATGGACAACAACGCCTTGAAACGTTATTTGAAAACATTCCAAAAGCCAAATGGACAACATTCGAAACAGGTTCTGATCTACCACAAGATGTTTTTTCTTAGAAATATGAGTGAAAAAAAAACCATTCCTCTATCACCGTAGTTCTTGTTTAATGAACTGATATCCTCTAGCAATAAAATCTTGCCATCATATGATTCTTTTATAACATTCTTACTAGAATCTT